AAGCGCCCAATCAAGCCTCGCTGGGCGAGGAGGGCATCGACCTGCCCCGGTGGGTCCAGTCGGTTGTCCGGGAGGAGTGGACCGCTGAGGTGTTCGACGTGGAGCTCATGAGGTACCACAACATTGAGGAAGAGATGGTTCAGCTTTTGCAGATCGCAATGGCTTGCGTGTCTACCGTGCCCGATCAGAGACCCGCCATGCAAGAGGTGGTTCGTATGATTGAGGATATGAACCGGGGCGAAACCGATGATGGCTTACGGCAGTCGTCCGATGACCCTTCGAAAGAATCGAGCGGTCATACGCCTCCAGCAGAGTCCAGGACCCCACCCAGCGTGACACCCACACCTTAGAAAATTGTCAATCCCAAAAAGAAAACAAAATGTAAAGGATCTGAAATTGAAAGGGGAAGAGGCGATGTGGGTTATTTCATTTGTGGTGGGTCTCCTAAAAACGTGCACAGTGCTCAATTAGGAGGAGGAGGAGGAACTAAAGTGCATAGTTGATTGTGGGGTATTGGGTCTGGTTGGTCCGATATCTGTTTTTTTTTCTTCCCTTTTTTTAACTTTAGTTTTTGTATTTTTAATTTGGGTTTTTTTTTCTTTTCAATTTTTGAATTTGTGTTTTTGCAATTATTTTTATAGGTGGGAAGAATGGTTTGAATTGTTTATGAAGTTGGGGGAGTGAGGTGGGGGTCTGAGTTCCATGAGCTGATTGGAATTGACCATTCGATGGACTTTGGGTTTATTTAATTCTTTCTTTTTTTCATAATTCTATTATTCACAATCCTCTCTTTCTCTTTACACATGGTTTTTCTTGTTTTCACCTAGTTTTTATTTTTTGCCCTTTTTAATTTTGGGGGATCCAGCTCTACATCGTACATGAGAAAGATTTTCATAAAACGAGGATAACACTATTGCTATTCTCGGCTAATAACGCTATGATAAGCCTGATAACTCTTTCATATGATATATAATGTTATTAGTCAAGGGTAGTAAAATAATGTTATCTATGTTGCAACCAAGTTTTTATCTTACGCACATATACACAGCCAACTAGGTTTTTGAAAATTTCCTCTGAAAAAAAAACATATTTAAAACTCCAAACAAATACTGAACTGGCTGGAAGCAGCACTCAAAATGAAACAAAAGAAAGAAGAAGAAGTGAAGAAGAGAGTGGCCGATGATTGTACACCGTACTAGCTGGGGGTCCCACCAAGGAGTAATTAATCAAAGGGAGTTCAAAATGATTGAATATCTGCACCGTCGAGTCCGGGTTCGGCGTTGTAGAAGTAGGTAGTTGTGGGGGATCATTTTGGTGGGTTTTGAGGAGGACTTGCCACGTGGCGTAATGTGTCTCCGCTTACCGGCCCCAGCGAAGGAATAGGGTGGAGGTGGGGAACAGCCTGGCCGGCTTTTTTACGCACTCGATCCCTCTCTCTTTCTTTTCCCTTTTCTTTTTTTATTGTCTGGGTCTCTGACGAGCAGAGAAGAGAGTGTTGACCCCGGCGGTAGAGATGTCAGCCGTTGATTCACGATATTAAAGGGCCCCACCTCTCTCTCTCATCCATCCATCCGGTATCATGAGGCAGGGCACAGGGACATTGGGGGACCCGCGTTTTTCTTTAATAACTTTTCGTCTTTTTTCATCTTCCTCCAGAAGAAGAAGCATCCCCTTCACGCGCCCCCTCTAAATTTGTGTTTCTGCTACTCGCTAGTGCAGTATAGTTTTGTTTTTTTGGCTGACGAAATAGTAATAGTATAGAGTAATCTATTTGAAAGAGATCATTCTCGTCCTCAATTAAAATAAAAATTAAGCAAATAAAACGGACATTTAAGAATTTCAGACCACTTCAGCCATTAAAAATTAAATAAAAAAAGTTGTATTATTTCAAATAATATAAATTCAAACTTCTTAATACCAAAAGGAAATTGTCAAACTTCGAACCTCTTTTTTTTTTCTTTCTCTGGTGGTTGGACAAGCACATTGAACAAAGCTTGACTATTTGGACCCTCTTGCTTTGAATGATCCTTAATATTAGAAATTTAAATACCTACCTCTCTCCCTTTTAAACATTTTAAATTTATTTAAAAAAGTCAAAATTCCATTTATTTTGAGGAGAAGCTTTTTCTTCATTTTAAAAAGTCAAATTTACTTATATTACTCAAGCAAGCTTATCCTATTTTATTTTGAAAAATACTCGCATCTTTCCCTGCAAATTAGAACTCATACTTTTTAGGGAAGGAGGAAAGCAGTGTCTTTTTATAACTAAGATAGAACAACCCTAACCTTGAGCACGAAATTGCCCTCCAAAAACTTGAATAATATCTAAGGTCTAGGCACGTGACTCCGTGAGCCACACTTCGATAGTTTGCTGCACCGAAAGCAGACGTTACAGGAGCAGCTTGCGTGCGGTCGTCGGACACAGATTTGACTTTTCTTTTTCATTTTTCACAATGGCAGTATTGGCAGTGGGCAATTCATTATTAGCAACAAAGATTCCCCCCCTCTTGCAGTTTTGTCTCTGGTTTAATCTTCAATTAAGTACCACTAATTACATTAGCAAAAAGGTATTCATGCAACTGATCAGCAGTTTGAAGTATCAAACACTAATTACTTCGCTAGCTAGTTGATGATTTCATAAGACACATGTAAAACACATATATGAAATGTGGACCATCTGCACATGTGCGGAGGTTTTTGGAGTTCCTTTGGGGCATGACATTGACTTGCTACCCTTTATTTTATTATTTTTATTTAATTTTGGTGTGACTTTTTGACAGAGATGCTTCAAAGATTATATTCCTTGGGTTAGTGTCGTGAGGATAAAGTTAAATAATAAGGTTTAGACATGACTCTCTGCTTAATATATTGGAATTGTTGTGATTTTTCGCAAATTAGAAACATAGCATTATTGGGTTTGGGCTACTCTCCCTGACAGATATGGCCCAATTTTCTGTCATTTGTCATGCGCTTTCAGAAGACTTGGGATGTAAGGGAGGGAGGTGTGAGTGTGAGTGTGAGTGTGACACCACATAAAATGAGTCTTGAAAATGATCATATATAAGTGACTGTGACACTGAAAAAGCTTGGTCATGTACTGCTTGGATGTTCCAAGGATTCTGCAACAACACTACTAGGCTAGAACTTAGAAGTGGTTGAATTTCACATCATATTTATCGAGTAGCTAATACGGTCGCTTTAACTAATTTAAGATATAAATTTTCTCAACCTTTTGTATGGTTTTCTAATCTTGGGAATTTGGATAAATTATTATGTGGTCCATGCAAGATGAAAGGTGTTTGCAGTGAAGTAAAGAGAATACTGTAATGCATGGTTCACCTAATTACAGAAAATCTATATTTAAACAAACCTTACTTACCTTATTGATTTTCCCAGTTAAGTTATAGTTCACCTAAAGTTTAGCGTTTAGAATTTGAGGTCCATAAATCACAAACTTATATATTTATCTGATTGTAGATTGGTATTTGAGTTGAGTAATTTTTAATTTCCATATTTAGGTTTTGGTGGGTATAGAAAGCTACCCTAACCCTCTAGATTATGTCATGATGCATACTTAAGTTATATTAGACAGGAAAATACCAATCGGTGACATGTATGTTTGTTTATTCCTCAAGCAAACCAAAGACGAAGGAGAAGTGGGGGGATAATATTAATAATGTAAGAGTTTGCAGTTTTCGTGCCTTCTAAGTTGAAGGATGAAGATTGAAGTTTGAAGATTGAAGATTGAAGTTTGAAGTTTGAAGTTTGAAGTTTGTCAACAACAGGCATGGATATGGATACGGATATGGATGTGGTTGTAACTTTTAAGGTTTGTGATTTAATTTGGGTTGTGAAGTCGTCCAAGCCAAAGGAAAAGAGTACCATTTACAAATAAAAATAAGGTATTTAGGTCATCTGGCAAGAAATGGGAACCTCCACTCCACTTTTATTTGAGTTCGTTTCAAGTCATATCCAAATCAACTAACCAAATTTAATAGCAATTTGAGTTGGTGTCAAATAATTCCAGAATTGAAAAGACAAGACCTTGCAGCTATAATATTAATTAAATAGGTACCGTATTGTCTTTCTTTCAAAAGGCCCTATAATCTATCCATCATATATCATATTCATTTATGAGATGTAAATTGTGAAGCAACTAATTTGGTATGTTTGAAAACATAACATAATCTCCACCCACATGACACCAAATTAGTTTGTTTGTGGTGGTGGTGACCCAAGGAAAGCTTTTCTCACATGGCTTCCCACGTTCATCAGAGAGATTCAGAGAGATCAGTAAAACCCCAGAAAAGGAAATCATATTTGGGGGTCACAGTCAGGAACTTTAAGTAACATGGTTGGTTTGTTGTAGATCCTTGTTAGGAACTTTAAATAACTTAATGAAAGAAGTTTTGGATACAGAGAAACTAAACAGAAAATGTAATTTTAAACTATCGTGTCGAACTGAGAAAATAAAAAGAAAAAGCTACTGAAAAACAATTTTATGTTCACCAACTAATTACAGATCCCACCCAGGGAAAGTTGACATGAAGAATGTTTACAAATCTTCAACATTTTTCAATTGATTTTGCAACTTCTGCCCAGAGTCTTTTCTTCCCAGTCAAACCTTAGTCTTCATGAATTTATTATTTGGCAATGCCCTTGACTTGTTTGCACCATACACCATAGTCTTGTTTCAGATTTTACAAGCATGCCCATCTCTGAGAGCTCTCCATTCAAGAGCGGATATATTCATCATAGGTGCTCAGTTGGAGCCTGGACAAGGGCTGAGGGTCATAGCAGATAACCACCACCGCAAAGTTCATTAATCAGAATAAAATAATGAGTAGGATTTGAAGGAAAACATCAGCTAAAAGACATTTCCATTCCCAACAAAGCCAATGTCATATACATTTTTTCAGTTTCAGGGTGTGATGTGTCACCAGCAACAAACACATGAAGTTCTTCTCCGATTTGAATCCAACTGCATCCCGGAATCTTTCTCAAGCCCCTTTCTTTCATTAACTGCCTCACCTTTGTTACCTCATCCCATCTTCCTGCAGCTGCATGTGCATTTGACATTGCTATATAGTTACCAGAATTGTCTGGCTGTAATTTCAGTAATTGATTGGATAAATATTCCTCTAGTTCTATTTTATTGTGGTCTCTACAAGCAGCAAGTAATGATCCCAACATTTGTGCATCAGGCTTGTATGGCATCGTGCCAATAAGCCTAAAAGCTTCATCCAAATTGCCACACCGTGAAAGAAGATTAACCACACAGCCATAATGCTCTATACTTGGATTTATATTGTGACTGGATACCATATCAAAGAAAAGCTCCAAACCTTCATTCACCATCATGGCATGGCTGCATGCATATAAGGCATTAGTAAAGGTTATATTATCTGGTTTTACACCTTCTTCCTTTAAGCCCTGATATAGTGCAAGAGCTTCCACAGCTTGACCATGTAACGCATAACTGGAAATCATTGCATTATAGACAGGCAACTCTTTGTGTTCAATCATATCGAACACCCTCTTTGCTTCATCTATATTACCACATTTAGCATACATATCCACTAAAGAGGTTGCAATTGGAATTGAAGTGTAGAGGGAATGCCTTATCAAATGCCCATGTAAGGCTCTTCCATTCTGCAACGATGCCATATTTATGCAAGCCAATAGTACACCAATAATGCTCACAACATTGGGTTTAATTCCAGCTTCCTGCATGTGCTGGAATGTCAGAATTGCTTCGAAGCCAAAACCACTCTTAGCCAAACCAGAGATCAGTGTAGTCCAAGTGACCAGGTTAGGCTGGACTCCAAGGGACTGCATCTGCCAAAACATATCTTTAGCCTCATTGACTTGGCCATTTTTCAGAAATCCTAAAATCAGAGAGTTCCATGATATCACATTTGGTGGCACACTTTCTAGCTGCATCTGATAGAACATTTTCAAGGCCTCACCACTATGACCCAATTCTGCAAAAGCAGCCAGCATTGTGTTCCACAGCACAAGATCTCTTATAAATGAAGAGTTGAAAACTCGTTTTGCACAATTGATTTTCTCACATTTGGCATACATGTCTACAATGCTACTCACAACAACCACGTCGGATTCAAGGTTGTTCCTTATACAATAGCAATGTCCCACCTTACCAAATTTCAAACTTCGTGTATCTGCAAAAGCAGACATTAAGGTTGAAAGAGTCACAGAGTCAAAACTCAAGTTTTCAAGTCTCATTCGACGGCAAACATTGAGTGCTTTGTCAATCTCCCCCACTTGCACATACCCAGATATGAGCAAATTCCAAGTGACCACATCTTTCTCAAGCATCTTGCTAAAAACCATTTCAGCATCCTCAATCAAACCAACCTTGGAATAAAAGTTAATAAGAGAACTGCCCAAATTGGTATTTAGTTCTAACCCACAAACAACTGCTAGTGCATGTCCATGTTTACCCTCTTGTAATGCACCTAAATTAGCTGAAGCAGAAAGTAAGCTCGATACCGTAACGTGAGTGGGTTCAACACCAGCCTCCCTCATCTCATAAAACACCTTAATAGCTTCCTCATTCAAACCATTTTGTACATAACCCACAATCACCGAATTCCAAGTGACTACATTTCTTTCAGGCATACCATCAAAAACCTTCCTTGCATCTTCTACAACCCCACATTTTCCATACATATCCACAAGACTACTAGCAACAAAGACACACCCACTACAACCCAACTTCACCACGTACCCATGAACCCCTTTCCCAATCCCAATCCACTCTAAAGCACCACAAGCCTTCAATACATTTGGAACAACAAAATTATCAGGCAACAATCCATTTTCTTGCATTTCCCTAAAACCTAGCAAAGCCTCTTGATAGGAACCCATCCTACAATTCAATCCAATAACAGCAGCCCACGAAAAAACGTTTTTTAATCGTACCCTTCGGAACAAACGATTTGAAGCCTCCGGAACATCGCATTTTGCATAGAAAATCACCAACTTGGTTTCAATGTACTCGTTTATTGCAAATATGCCACCTTTCTTTATAATCCGAGCGTGAATTTGCTTACCCGTATGAAGAGCTCGTTCGTAGACACACCCCTGAAGGAGCTCGCCGTAAATTTCAGGGCCAACTTGGAGGTTTTTGAGCTCCATTTCAACGAACAAGTCCACAGCCTGTTGAATTTGACCTTGTTTGCACAGAGAGGACATGTGGCTAAAGTAAGATTGGTACAAGATTTGATGGGTTTTTGCATTTTCTTGAAGTTTTGTAAAATGGGCTTGTGACTGTTTGTGAAATTCAATCGGAATAGACTGTTTGGAAAGTGAGAGTTGTGGGTTTGGAATTGTGGTGTGCGGCAGAGAAGCCATGGCCAGGCACGAAGCAGAGGAAACAAGAGGAGGATATGGTTGGTAGTTGCCACACGAAGCGGGAAAGGGCATTATCGTCAATGCGGACATTATTAACTTGGGCCTTATATTGAACCTGTGCTTCAATCATGATGGTCTCTTGGCCCATAATCTCGACATAGGCCTTTTATTTATGAGTAATGTTATTTAGACACATAACATTGACCACCTTATGTGAAAATTGATGTGTTATGCCATGTCAATTAATAAATGTCGTCATGTCAATTAAAAAATCATAGCATTCCTAGTGAGTGGACTCATGGCAACATTCATTAATTAACATGACATGACACATCAGTTGCCACATAAGGTGGTTAGTTAAGGTGGTCAATGTTGTGTGTCCAAATAGCATTACTCTTTATTTATAGAGAAAATTTGTTGGGCATGAATTATATATATATATATATATATTTTACACTTTTATGTATTTTTTTATTTATAGAGAAAATTTGTTGGGAATGAAGAAGCTATATTTTGTGAATTTTTAGGGCAATTTTAAATGATTTGATTTTTTGATACCCATATTTTGATTTTTATGTATATGTAGATTATGAAGAACACTAGATATTTTACAACTTGTGGTGATGCATATACCCCTACGTGCACATTTTCTTTTACCAACTGAAAGAAATTGATAGAATGCTTTGTGATGAATCTTAATACAACAATAGGTCAACAGCATATATAATATATATTTAAGATATATGTTCCAAATTCGTGTCTTCATAAACACTCTAAGTGTGCCTTTTATTTGTATTTATTATTATTATTAAGTAGTTCATATCTTTTGCTAAGAGGCCGACCAAAGCGATTCTAATTCCATACTCCACTCTCTCATGCTTATTCAGATGCCTTATGCACTCACTCCATAATATTTTTGGTCAAGACTCCTACTTCTTAAAAGGGCAGTGGTGGTTTGGAGCAATTGTTTTCACGGGTAAGGTTTTGCGTTCGAGTTCTAGCATCCGGGTAGTGTATGTGTGAGTTTAGTATATTATCGACATTCTTAATAAGAAAGATCCTCTTAATTTATATTCCCCTTCTTTTTTAAGGAAAAGAATTTTCCTTCTTAGAGTAAGAGTAGTACTTTGTGATTGTACACTGAGAAATCAACAGAGAATTTAGTATATATATCCACCAGCTAGCTCGCAGTAATCAATAAATTATGAAATTCTGATGCCAAAAAGAAGTGGAATTATTAGAGAATTTAGTAGAACAATCCATTTATCATCAGAAATATTTAGTTCATGATTCTCATTGACAAACCTTACAGCCCGCAAATGTACCTTTCATTGCCTTTCCGCAAAGTTAATTATACATTTAAGAATATTTCATATAAAGCTCATTCGTTTATTTTTATTTTTATAAGTATTATTTTCGGCATCCAATTTGAAACAAGTTGAAGAAGCAACCCTGAATTTATATATATATATATATATATATATATCTCTCTCTCTCTTATATGCCATATATAACTAGTTAATTCCTGAAAAATAAAGTAGATTTAGATGAATTAGTGGATAGATAGAATGGAATAGAATCTGACATTTTCGTAATATTCCTGTTTCAAACTAGACTTTTGGTCATTCTGAGGAGAAAGACTGATTAGGACTCCATCCTTGTCGCATATACTAAATCAGTAGGACTTTATTTAAAATTTACTTATTATATTAATTTGTTACATAATATAGTACACATGTCACCTTTCAGTTGGCAGTGAGATGAATTTTCTTATATCGTTTAGGTTGGAGCTAGTGTTCCAGTAATTTTAAAACTTTAAAACTAGTATATAGTTATTCTCTCATCCGCATGTCATCATATTATTATTGTTGCGAATACCATTGTAAAGAGGGAGGAAATAGAGATTGGTAATAGAAAATACATTGCATTAAAAATATAATAACATTCACATAGGAAGTTCACATAGGAAAATTATCAATATATATATATATAAAAAAAATACATCTAACAAAAAAAAAAAAAAAAAAAAAAAAAAAAAAAAAAAATTGGATTCTTGACATTATGATCATATACAGCAGCATCTGAGGCCTTTTAATTATGCATGAACATACCATGGGAAAAGTTGAGCTTGGACTAGTGGAGAGGGAATTTCTGTTAAAAAATAGTGGTCCTCCTAACCTAATAACTGGGCTTTTCACGGTAAAGTTGGTGTCCAAATGCTTGTGATAAAATATAAGATAGGCTATTCGGGGGATCTCACTTTTGGCCCGTGTGAAACCCATTGTAATTTCTAAGCGTCAAAAACTCAAAAACAACAAGGAATTAGAAGACCGATGTATTATTATATGCCAACAACGACTAAGGTTCCATTCTGTTTTTAGACCATGGCCATGCACGCGCATGCATAAAGAAAATAACAAGCTTGTGGATAAAACTTGGTGTAACGAACGCAACACATGTATCTCATGTTTCTTATTTCTCTTCTCACGTGATAGTAACACAACGTGATTAAAACAAAATGGGTGCATGATGTTGGGATAAAGAGATATATTTCTCCATAAAGAGAAATGCTAGCAATCTTCTCTCTAACATTCTCCTTTGGACCTTCTCCTTTTTTTGTTTGACACGTGTTATTCTCCTTACACTTAAAACAATGTCTTTTATATATTATACAAATTAACTTCTGCTTTCCAATTTGTTAACTTGTGATGTGGTTAGATAGAAACAGAGTGGAGTAGAGCCTAGTAGGACTAGGGTATAGGCATTACATGGATTTCAGCGAAAAAGAGGGGCCAATTCGGGCAGGCAGAGCTTTCTTTCTTGAGGAATGCACCTCGGTTTCTGTTTTGAACACAATTTTTAATGTTGGGTGTAGCCTGTAAAATTGTAATGCAATTCATAATTGGAAAACGGGAAAGGAAAAGGAAAAGGGAATATTCCTTTATTTTTGCGCCAGACAAAAGGGATATTCAGAAGGACGATATGGTGGAATATCACGACACGTGTCACGAGGAGAATCTCTTTCCTTTGATTTCTTTTCCTTTACTTCCTATTGGAAAAGAACAACAAAAACAAAAAAGAAAGAAATGAAGAATGAGAGGGAGAGGGAGATAGAGAGAATCTGCAGAAAAGGTTTGGGTTGGAGTATTGTACGAGAAGACTGATTTTAGAAAGCGACCAACCATCATTATTATTGCACATCTCTATCTCTCTCTCTCTCTCTCTCTCTCTTATCGTCTCTCTCCCTTTGTCTTTGTCTTTGTAACAGATAAAAGAGAATTCGATGCAAATGCAATTTCATAAAGTCCTCTCTCTCTCTCTCTCTCTCCCCCGACTTTGTTCATTTTCAGTAGAAAAGGTCTGCATTGCATATATCTGTCTCACCATGCTAAGGTTATTTTGCCTGAAAATGGTGCTGGGATCGATATTGGACAGAACAATTTTTCATTGTTTAGTTGCATGCCATCACCCCAAGTCATGCAGCATATGCGGTCTTAACGTTTTGGATGCCCTAGACAAACTACAAAAATGTGACCTTCGACCTTCTATGTACATTCATTCATGCTATTTATTGTTACCATAAGGATTTTGAGAAAATATTATATGAACTTAAAATTAAGATTGTAACATTAAAAAAAAACAACAAACATCATATGTAATTCATATTGTACACAACAATAAAGGGATAAAACAAACTTTTTACTCAAATTCTATTATAATAATACATATTTACTTACACATATGCACCAAAAAAAGTCTTCAAGATTGTGAATCTTGACTGAAAATGAAAATTCAAGACTAATTTCCCAAAAAAACAAAGCATGAAATTCAAAATTAAAAGAAATTATCAATCATCATACTTGGAATTCTTTTTCAGAGTTCAAACATGTGAAATTGATCTCAATGCATTTTATTTCTTAATTTGATTCAAATATGTTAATTAGCTTATACTATGAATTTATTGAATAAGCGGGTTTTTTTTTTCCTTTGAGCTGAGCTCTTCTTAAATTTGGATTGAATTATGGGCATAACATAATTTTTATATCTAGAGTCGGGGTTTTATGTATAGTGACATACTAGTTATATGTAAGGGATTTATATAAATTGGAGGCCTTAGACGGTCGCTTTGCCTATGCTTAGGAAATTGTGACATAATATAGTAAAAAATTGTGGTTATGTAACATTACTCTTATGAAATATTTATTTCAAGTTTTAATAGTTTACTATACACTATTGGTACGCATCTTGATCTTTTTTTTTACAATGCATTAGTCTTGAGGGTGAAGTCTTATCTCTCCCTTTTTCATTAGTACTTGAAAAGTTTAAGTTCTCTTTTCACGAGTTGTAATCCATTATTAGCAGTTGAATAATCAGAAAAATCCTTATAGATACTTTTTTTCTTCCTCCTAATAAAAAGGACAAAGTCTAATTAGGAGCTATAAATCGAAGTGGGTATTTCTTATCCAGAACCTATTTGATTTTTGAGCTATAGCTCTCAAAATAATATATATTTATATTCATTCAAAGGCGAATCGGGATTAATTGCTATGGAGGTTCAGAACCCTAGGAAAATTCCCCTAATTTTTTTTTAAAAAAAAGAATCTTCTTACCTTCCAACCCACTTCATTAAAGTGAGTAGCAGAAGAAGATTCCCTTCTCTTAGGCTTCTTTATTATTCTTTTTTGGGGTGGTAATGGTTTTTCAATTTCCCTTTAAGCTTTGTGGGTTTTGTTCCCTTAATTTAGAGTCGTAGAATTGGAACGAAGATATTCCTTTCCTTGGAGGCAAATATTATATTCTTTAACATGAATGTTTCATCTTTTTTATTAGATATTCTCTCTCTCTCTCTCTCTCTCTCTCTCTCTCTCTCTCTCTCTCTCTGAATGCACTCAATTTCACAGCAATTATGCAACTTTTGAAACCAAAAAGAAAGTTGCATGCAGCATGGTGCATGGAATATTGATACTAATCCCATTTGAAGATGTCCTCTTTTTCCTCTCTTTCGATTTTTTTCTCCAATTCCAATTCCAATTCTAATTCGGTGGTAATGGCTAAGGGCTAATATGGCTAATGGCTAATGGCTAATGGCTAATGGTAAAGAAAGAAAATTAATATATGGATCATGGAGGATGGATGATAGTATATGCTCCTCCCAAGGCTTTTTCATTCATAATAAATATTTAATCACCCTAGAATCATGAATACATAATATTATTAGTTAATTATTATATGAATGGTATATATTTGGTAAGGGTACCCTCAAGTACTACTTGGCCGTACACGTGTCCGATATCTGCAATCTGGCTACTGCTTTGGACTACAGCTTTCTTGTGGTTAGGCTTTCGATGTGATATACGTACATCACAACCAACCATGGAATCCCCACCTTTCTTTTTGACCCTTTATATTTTGTGGACTGCTAATATTTTTCACTGTATATATATATATATATATAATCACATTTCTTACATATTTTGGGTCACCAATATCTAATCTGTTAAACAAATTTGCTCAAAATTAATATAGCTCTATTAATAATTAGTATATCTGATGTAGTTGATGATGTGGATGATGATGTTGTAGCTACTAGCTAGCTAAGAGTTTTTCATCTGAACCATCCCATGGGCACCACCAGTTACATGTCAAAAGCCATGCATGTGTATCTCATACTAAATCAAATGCAACATATATGTAGTAATGAGAATTTCCTAGGATAAGCTTAAAATTCAATACACAAGAACATATGAATATATATATAGGTTTAATTTTCGCTTGACAGAATAATAAGTTCATAGCTGAGTACGATTCGAAGGACCAAAGAAAAGTAAGGAAATAATTATTAAAAAGAGAAAGGGGAAAAAAAGGCACAACAGTAAGAAGAAGAATCATCTTTTATTTTGGTGAATTTGAATTCGTACAGACTAGAGAGAGAGAGAGAGAGAGAGAGAGAGAGAGAATTAAGTTGAAACAAAGGCTCTAAGCACATGACCCCTCTAGTGTCAGACACCTTGATTCCTTCTCCACAGCCAGAGATATCAGCAGAGAGAGAGAGAGAGAACCTCTCTCTCATTTTTAGCTTTTCTTTGCCTTTGTTCTTTGCAAGAAGTTACCATCCTTCTTTATCCCCCTCCCCTCTTGCTTTATTTTTCTTTTCTTCTCTCTCTCTCTCTCTCTCTCTCTCTCTCTCAAATCCCCCCAGCTAGAGCTAGCAAGCCACTTTATTCCCTTGAACTCACCCTAAAAAGAAGACGATCCTACCTCGATCCTCCTTGTGTTCACAAACCAACATCCCTTCCCTTTCTCTCTCCCTCTCTTTCTCTCTCTAAGTTGAACCACCATCCTATCTAGAAATTAGAAAGAGCCAAAGACCCTCTTTTGCTCTTGTTTGTTCCTACATACCCTGTTGCTGTTGTTGTTTCTTGGGCGTCAACATTTTCTAATAAAAACAGTGGTCAGTTTTATGAGCAGTTAGCTACCAAAGTTAGATATCCAAAATCTCTGTTTTGCTTCTTGCTATATCCATTTCTGAATTTATAAGCAAATTAATTGGTTAATCAGTAAATGGCATCATCGCCTTCGGAACTAAGCCTGGACTGCAAGCCCCACAGCTACTCCATGCTCCTCAAATCTTTTGGAGACCTGCAGGCGTCTCATCACCATGACCAGTCTCAGACTCAGAAGCTTGAAGAGTTCCTCTCCCGCCTTGAAGAAGAACGTCTCAAGATTGATGCTTTCAAGCGCGAGCTCCCTCTTTCCATGCAACTCCTCACCACTGGTACATACATCATCATCACCTAGCATGCAGCCACAATTTGGATATTCATGTTACTTAATTTCCTACAAGTTTTAATTAATTAGCACTAACTCCCAACCCTTTACTTCTTTATCCCTTTTTCATTTATAGAAGGGAGAGATTGTAGCTTTCTGTTTCTCTATGGGTCCAAAGTAGCTACTAATTCATATCCAACATATTTTCTAAAGAAACTAAAGCCACCATACATGGCAAAAAGAATAAGGAGGTATGAATATAAAGATCATAAAGACAACATATAAGAGATTAAAATATATTTACATATAGAAGAAATCTATACAGAAACTCAGGGTGATTTGCTTAATTTATTTTGGGTACCAGAATATCTTGTTTTTCTCCATTATGTACTAATCATCAAGATTGTAATTCCAGCGGTGGAGGCTTCAAGGCAGCAGCTTCAAGCTTACAGAGCAAATATTCAAGGGCCAAATAGGCCAGTGCTTGAAGAATTCATACCTCTTAAACATTCACCGACTGAAGGCTCAGAAAAAACTACAAACACCACTTCTGATAAGGCAAATTGGATGACCTCTGCCCAACTGTGGAGCCAAGCAAGTGATCATATCAATGCAACCAAACCCCAGTCCGTAACATCCCCAAAAGAAACCGATATCGGCTTTAGTGTCAGCCCCAAGCTCGGCTTAGACGCCAAGCAGCACAGATCCTATGGAGGAGGAGCTTTCCATCCATTTTCCAAAGACCGCAACTCTTGCCCAAGCCCAACTTTGCGGCCTCTCCCAGAGCTGGCTCTTGCCTCCCCAGAGAACAACAAGGCAGCAGAGATGTTAATGGAGGACAAGATCATCAAGTCATGTAATAATTCCGAGACCACCCATGAGAATGGAATGATTAATTCATCAGCTAATAATGGCAATTGTAGTGAACAAGCTAAATTATTAGCAACTGGTGGAATTAATAATTCAAATATATCAGAGGGGCAAACACAGACAACAACAACCACAGCCACCAACAATCAATCTCAATCTCAAACTCATAGGAAGGCAAGGAGGTGTTGGTCTCCTGACTTGCACCGGCGGTTCGTTAGTGCTCTTCAAATGCTTGGTGGTTCTCAAGGTATTAATTATTAATTTGCTATTAATTTATTTTTATATGTAATATAATCATATGGATTTGATGTTTACGTACGTACGTTTTTGTTTTGGTCAATTTGACAGTGGCGACCCCGAAACAGATCAGAGAGCTGATGAAGGTTGACGGTTTGACCAACGATGAAGTTAAAAGCCATCTGCAGGTACCTTATCCTACTGCACCTACAAATGATATTATGTCTCTCTCTTTTTCTGATACATGCAGCCTTTGCAGCCAGGCACTGGCAGCATGAAACATTTGATATGCATACATATCCTCTTTGCTTTGCTTCCCTTTGTCTTGTCCTTATTATATATATATATATATAACATTTCCTTGTTCCTTTTCTTTTTGTTTCAAATTCTTATCACAGAAGTACAGGCTCCACACAAGACGACCGAGCCCTAGCCCACAAGCAGCCGGAGGCCCAACGCCTCAACTGGTAGTCCTAGGTGGCTTCTGGGTCCCGCCAGAGTATACCAACGCTGCACACAATGGCCCCACAGCCCTTTACAGCCCACACCCTGGCTCTCATGCACCAACTCACTATTGTGCAACCCCAATGCCCCAAGACTTCTACACCACGCCCCCACCGCAGCAATTGCACCACCACCAGCTCCACGTGTACAGGGCTTCCACTACCTCCAACACTCACAGCTCCCCCGAGTCCGATGGCCGAGGGGCCTGCGGACGGTCGGAGAGCATCGAAGATGGCAAGTCCGACAGCAGCAGCTGGAAGGGTGCAGAGAGCGGTGGTGATCAGATGAACGGAGGCGATCATAGAAAAGGAGGGGTGGCTTCGAGGAGATCAGAAGACGCTGAGGACAGTAATGGAAGTCAGATCACGCTCAAGTTCTGACCTTGTGGTGGTCAGGGCATGAGGGAGGTTTTGGGTTAGGGTTAGGGTTAGGACTAATTAAAAATTAGGGCTACCATTTGTATGTTTGTATGCGCTAATCCTGTTTAATTCTCAATTTATCATTATTCATGTGATATGATATATTATTATATCTACCGTGTGAGTTTTAGTTTTAGGGTCTTTAGAGAGGGTAAAAACGTCATAACGGGAAAAGTGAGTGTTTGTTTTATTTTCCTTTTCTTTTTCCTTTAGATTGATTCTATTTGAAGGAATAATTCACATATATAAAAATGTGCTTTCCACCATGAATTACTGACTACTGTACAACATGGAGGTCCTTTGATCCTATTTCTTTTTCTTTTTTTTTCTTTTTCTTTTTTCACCCAAAATTAGGAAGGAGAATGGGATTTTCTCACACGTTGTCCAGTTTATTTTCTCTACTTTTCTGCCAAGATTAGAAAAGAGAACGGAGTTTCTCACACACATTATCAAAGTGTTATGGAGTTTGAATCCTAATTCAAAATGTAAAACCATGTGCTACTCGGGCTTGTTATGGGGCTTTGGCCGTCCTTGGTACCCAAGTAAAAAACGAAATTTTGAGCTTATTGCTTCAAATAAGTCTAATTAGAGAAGGAAACTTGTTGGATTAACATGTGTTGTGCTACTTTAAAAACTTGGGTCGCGAAAGAAGAGGTACCGAAAGTGTGTGCCTGACTCAGACTTCTTTCCACCCTAATCTCTCGTCAGAGGCTTTTTCACAAAAAAACACATAACGGGCACTTTATTAATGGCCTTTTTCTTTCTGTTGCTTTGCTTTAAGCAATTCAGAGGAAGAGGGTTACATGTTAGCATTGCCATCCATCACCATCTTCTCATCTTCGGCGCTAAAGTGCACACCAGAAAACATGATGTAGAATATAATACATCTCAGATAAAATAAGCTGTTTCTCAGCTGACTTTGGAGTAAATATCTACAAAAGCTTCAAATCCCCCACCTCAAAACAATATACAGTATGCGTTAAGTTCTATTACAGATCACTCCTTTCAAGGTTCAACATGACATCATGTATTGCCAATTGTCAAGATTCCGTCCCTTAAGTCAACCTCATCTTCCAACATTTCTGTATCAACGAGCGACTGCAAGCAAAATGGTTTATACGTTAAGTTCTGTCACTAAATTACCCCCCTATCGCAATCTAATGATCCAAATATAAATACATAGAAGTTTTGCACTAGATACATAACATCAAAAGAGGGTTTGAGATCTGAGAAGACCAAACTTTGGGCTTCCCATTTGACAAAAGCCTTAATTGGCCCAACTCCAGTCAAAATAGATCCAGGCGAAAGAAAGCAAACAGCTTGGTGACTTGACTTCAATTCACAGATATTAATAAAGGAAAATGTTCTTTCCCATTTGCATTTTTCTTTAAATGGTTCATTTCTTTACTCATTTGTAACCATGAATAACAAGGTAATGTATCAGCATTGTTTTTCTGTACAAGCTTAAGAGGAGAGAAGACACCAACCTGAAGTTCGTGTTCACAGCTTTTAAGTCTTTCAGTGTAATCTTTTACTTGCATAAAGGATTTATGCAGCTGCAAATAAAAACATTAACCTCAATCAGTGTCCAGTACAGTTTATCCGCAACCAGCCTTAGCAATTGAAAATACCTTGGTTAATTTCATCTTATGGTGTGAAGAGTTCTTCTTTGCATTTATCAATGCATCCTCCAATTTCTGCATAAACAAATTCTCAGCAGGACATGAACCAAGTTTAGCATGTGAAACCAGAAGACTTGGAATAAAGACATGCATGCAGATCAAAGTACAATCAGGGGTACCTTAGATTTCTTTTGCAAATCCAAAACTAGTTTTCCTTTCTCTTTCAAGCTCTCCTCCATCTGAATAGTCTGACAACATATAATGAAACTTAGTGTCCCCTAAAAATTTCATTATGACTTTCATGCAGGTCAAATGCAAGAAATAATGCTGAACTACCAGAAAATATGCCTCTTGCTTAATGGTACCAGAAAATCTATACGATGCCAACATAGGTCTTTATGAATAATCAGACAAATAAAGGTATGGGCATTGCTTTATTTACTCAAATTCTTTAAGGGAAGACAGACCTCCTTTTTTATTTCTTCAAGCCTTCGCATGGATCTCTCGAGCTGTTCTTTTACCTAATATTTTTAACAGAAGAAAATGCAAGCAAAAAAGTATTTTAATTAAGATGACACAAACTTATATATGTATGGCACTATCTTAGCAAGAAAAGCTAAAAATGCCAAACTTGCCTGATCATCGTAATCGTCACTGGGATGGGATAACAGGTCCCTACTTTGTCGGTCAACAGAATTTGAACTGCAGGAAAAAAAAACAGAACATCATGAAAAACGACAGAATCTAAACTGCAGAAAAGAAACCAGAACATAAGAGGACCCTTATGTGATTCATCATATCTTTCTTTCTCTTGATCATCTCCCAAGAAACACAATTGATACTGAAATACAATAAGATCAACGTGGCCACAATGTTTATGCAGATGTCATATTCAACTCCTAAAAGCATTTGGGACTCTGTCATCTAGTAATCGAGATAGGATATGTACTTTCTAGAAGTCAACATGCAACTACATACACGTATCAATTATTCCGGATGTTGTTATATGAAAGGCTAGCCAGCATACTCACGATCAAGTTAAGAGGATGCAACAATTAAAACTTTGACTTATAAAATACAAAAGAACATAATCTATGTATGCAAAATGTTAACAACTGTGCAATTTAAATATGAAGTCCAGTTCCAGCCTTATCCTCTGACAGGTGTTTAATGCCAAACAACAATTAGAAACAAGAAAGGCATCTTACCTGTTCCTTCTCTTTGAATGTTGATCTCTATCCTTGGCAGCTATAGTAGTATGATTTTTGTTTTTTTCCATCTCCCTATCTCTGTCAGAGTCCAATGCTCGATCTCTTTCCCAACCCTGATCATGGTTCCTGCTCTGTCCTTGCTCAGCATCTTCCAAATCTCTGTCTTGATGACGGTCTCTATCCAAGAAATGATCTCTTACTTGATCATAATCACGTTCACGGTCATACCCTCTATCCCTTTCTTGATCAACCCCAAGGGACCGGCCACGGTCGCGTTCTCTTGATCGATCACTGTGCTCTCTCGACCGATCACTGTATCGATCCTTATACCGGTCTCTATCATGATCATACTCCCTCTCATGATCTCTATCTCTATCCCAGTTCCTGCCCCTCTCAACATTCCTTCCAAAACCTTCTCTGTCTCTACCAAAACCCAATCTTCCACCTCTAGTCCTCACTTCATTTACTCTGATAACTCTTCCATCAACAGTCTAATTCAAAGCTCAACAATGTCACTCAAGATTTTAAGAAAACAAACCGATCACAGACACCATAACTACATAAATGTTCAAGTATAAACATAAATAAATAAAACATACCCTGCCATCCATCTCATTGATGGCATGAATTGCAGACCGAGGGTTCCTGAAAGTAACAAAGCCATAGCATTTTCCTCTGGTCGAAGCATCATTGATAATCTGTAAATTGAAGAATTGAAGAAGCAGCAGATGAGGGAAAGAAAACCTAAATGCTTAAAACCCTACAAAGTAAAATGGACAAAAAAGAAGAAGGAAAAGTAGCGGGAGTGACCTTAACGGCAATGACGGAACCGTATAACTCAAAAACTCTGCGAACTCTATCCTCGGTGGCGTCGTACGGAAGGCCTCCAACGTAGACGGAGCTCTCGTCGTCTATCGTCATCTCCCTCACTCGCCTCTCTCCCAGTTCTTCTCAATAGTTTTCCTATTATTTTGTTTTCTTTACCAAATAACAAACGACATGTAGTTGACTGTGCAGTTCCCAAAAAAGGATGTGTCGTTTGAACTTTGGACCCAACGGCCACCCCCTACTGGGCCTTGCCCAATCAAAATAAACGACACCCTCAATGTGGACTTTCAAAACACGATGGATTTGACATCGGCCTGCCCAATCAGATGAAACGACACCCTCAATGTCCAATTTTCAAAATAAGATGCATTTCTATTGAGATTTGGATGGGGAATTGTTAAAAATTAACATTATTGTTCCAATGATAATGACTATTTGGTTTGGATTTGTGGAAATAATTCACATTTGTTTGTTTAAATATGAGTTAGGTTAGTTAGTTATGACGGTGAACATATCTCATTGTACTCAAATTCTAGTCTATGCTCATATAAGTTAGACTATTTTAAGATAGCTCAGAGAAAAAAAAAAGTACTGTCTATCATAAATCAGGCGGTCCACATCAAGGACAAATCGTTGATGGGCCCCCATGTTGATGACTGATAATCTGTTTAAATTCAAGAGTCGCCCTCCTTGCTTACCCAAAAAATTGACCTAAGAAAGGAAGAAAGAAAGAAAGAAAGAAGGGGAAGATTTACAGAAAGGGAGGTTATATCGTTGTCAACACGTGGGAGGTAACCGACACGTGAATATGCTGCCCCTCCATCTCCCTCTCCCTCTCCCTCTCCCTCTCAGATCAGTAGATCAGTCAGCCCCCTGGCTTTTTGGGTTGCGTCGTGCTGATGGTGGTCCTTTTTCAAAAGAAATTCAATGTGGGCCACTTGGGCCCACTTCCTCCAACTTGCTCTGCCTCTGCCTCTTCCGTAACGGGATCACGTGAAAACCTAAAAAACAGGCCAAAGCGGTGGGCCTCTAGGGTTCCGGGCGACCCACCAACGCAACTTCTTCATTATAATATTTCATTTATTTTTTCAAATTCCACCCAAATTATAAAATATGTAATAGCTCTAATAATATTTATAAAACATGGAAAATTATTTAACGCGGGATATGGAAAAGGGTTTTGATATGCATATCAATAGCCTCAAATATGAACCCTTCTTCGAATATCGCCTGTATTTAAATTATAAAAAAAATGAAAATTTAAAGAAATAAATATGAGAAGAAATAATAATTCAGGTGTTGTAGATGAGTCAGCAGAGGGACTTTACGCAGGAGAGGTGGCAAAAGGCAGAGGACAGTGGTGTCATGTGGGTGGCGATGTTGAGTCCCTCTTGAGTCATTATTACGTTATTGGGTCGGGGTTCTGGGCCCCGTTATGGTTTAGTGGGTTTTCCTTTTTCCATTCTTAGCAAAGGCACATGCACCCATATGACATATGTACACGATTAATTAAAAGTCACAAACTCTTGTTGTGCAGAAATTGAACAGTGAGTGAATGCCACTGTCTTGTTGGTGTTTGTTCATGTACCCGTAAGCTTAACCCATCTCGATCTCTCTTTTAAAAATCACAATCAATGGCTCAAATACAACCAAACAACGCCATGGCTAAGGTGAGCATGGTGTCTGCATTTTTCTTGCTTTTTACTTCAAAAGCTTTATCAGCTACATGCTATATAATATATCCTGATGTTCTTGCAAGCACGATTCAATAATGGTTGCATTGTTCATGGGCCCATCGTCCTACGTTTATGTTTCTCGGTCGCTTCGTTTTATTTTATCGTTTTTTTGTTAAAATGATCGAGTGACGCTTGATCTTTGCTTCGTTAGAGGAGATGGAGTTTCATCCACTCACGTGGAGAGATGAGCATAAAGAATTGTTCTCGCCCTTTTCCACAGGGTAGGTAACGAGTTAAATCCTGTAATTATGTACCGGTTGAAAGTGACATTTTCTTTGATGTAGTTTCGCACATAGGGTCCGTTTGTTTTGAAAAAAACCGAATAATTGATTATCATTTCCGTTTCTTCTGGTGTTTTCAGTCTTTGACAAATGAAAAACCGAATACTATTCGAATCGGCAGTTCAAAAACGAAAATGGCCAGCCAGAGCCAGCCATCATCACGATTCATGATTCATGATTCATGATTATCAAACATAATTAACATGCTCAATCCATTTAATTAATATTTCCATACTAGTTGGACGTCAACTTTCAATAGAAAAACAATCATTCAAATTAAGAACATAAAAACTGGTTTATAGAAAATAAATTAGAGAGATAATAATACAGACGTTTACCAAACGCCTAGGATGAATTATTATTAGTGTTTGGTCGCATGTAGCAGTCGATGATATATAGGCTAGGGCCTAGGCTTAGCCTGAGGGTATCGTGTAGATTGGACCCCTTGAAACGGTTCCTATTCCATTATGGTAAACGTCAGCTACCAGTGTGCTTTCCCTTTCCCTTTCCAATTTCCATTTCTTCTCATTTTTCTTTCTCTACAAAATCAATCTTGGACGGCACCACGGGTCACGCCCACAACCTCTTTTTTCCTGCGTTGACTGCCTTCTACACCATCCATAACATGAACATGCTTTTCCTAAGATTCCGTAACACATTCATCACTCCAGTTATGTCTTCCCTCAGTCCACAAGTTTACTGGGAAACCTGGCTTTTCTGTACAACCCAGCCATTGCAGGTGAGATGGTTGATCGAGATCCCGTCTTCGATTCCCTTGTGACGGGCTTCAATTATAAAGTGTTGTTTTGACTTAAAATACAATAACACAACATGTCAAATTGTTTCGTAACATAAGATCAAGGGTTAGAAATATTATTATTATTTTTTTTTATAAAAGAAAAAAATTGTACCTAAATATTTAGATATATTGTACCCCATCCATTAAGCATTTCTGGATCATTAAAGCAGAACATGAAAATAGAGCAAGAAACTCATAAAATTTCAAATAAAATAAAAAAGCTAAGGTGAAATTTAGACATGATTGGCATTATTATTCTGATTAATAACCCCAACCGGTTGGTTGGCTGTGGTTGCTTCAGCCGTAGGCATGACTTGCCAAGCCGAAGCCGCGATGAGAGGACGGCTGTGCCAGCCGAGGGTGAGGCACCCGTCGTTCTCTTCCACCCGGTATCCTTCAGCCGAGAAAAGTGTCAGAAGCATACTCGCCTGCTTGAAAGCATTGGAACCCAAATGCAGAGGCCTAAACCCGGCTTGTCCCAGCCGAGCCCTCCACTTCCCCAACGGCTCGTGTCTCTCCACTCGAGCCGCGCCCTCACAGCACACCACGTTGCATATCTCCCTCTGTATGTACATCTCCGCCAAGGCCTTCTCCGGCTGCATCGCGCAAGCCTCCAGCGAGTCGAACATGGTCGAGTAGTAGTACAAAGCCTCCGTGAATCGGTCCAAGAACCCGGTTTTGTTGTGGTCCGCTTCCTGCTCCACAACCGTCACGATCTTCGGGTTCAGGTTCCGGATCCAGCCCAGCATCATCTCAATTGGGGAATTCCGGTTCGGGTCCGATCCGAGAAGCCGATGCAGCTGCATGATTGAGTTCACTGCCACAGCCTCCTTCGGGCTCACCTGCAGCATCCACGGCTTCACATCCTCGAGCCTCGAAGCCGCCACGCCGCGAAAGGCGAAACGGACGTTGACGGACCGAGCCAATTCGGCCAGTCGAAGGCCGATTTCTCTCAGCGAGTCTCGCCCGTCCGGCGACGGCGGTCCAATGCCCGTCAGTCGGAGCAAAGGGGGCCCACCGGGGCGTAAAGCCAGGGCCTGTATAAGCGCCGGCCATTGCAAGCCGTGCATTAAGTTGAAATCGATGACGTGGACGCAATCGTGACCCTGGAAGGCTTCCAGGATGGCCTGATTGGCGGTGAAGTGAGCGAATTTGAGGTACGGGCAGGCCTCGTAGAAGTAATGGTAGAGGAGCTCGTTCTCGTGAGCCGAGGCGACGCTCGGGTGGGAGAAGATTCGGCGGCTGAGGGCGTCGATGAAGTAACCAGCGACCTTACCGATGCCGCAGCTGGTGTTGACACGTGTGAGCAGAGTCTGCATGTTCTCGATCAGCGAGCCCGCCAACGCGAGATCGCCACGCTGGACGGATTCGGCGCACGTGACGAGCAAGTGGACGAGCCTTATCCCGGAATCTTCTTCCATAGCCGTGACGACGGTGAGTTGGTGCTGCTGCTGCTGAGGCGGCGGAAGAGGTTCGGCCCAGGTGTCGTTGGGGAGGTCCGTTGGATTGATGATGGCGTCAGGGAAGTCGAGATCGGATGGTAGGGAGATAAGGGGCTGGTGGTTGAACTCGGATAGGAGCGAGTCGACCCAGGTGGCGATGTCGGAGGGGTTGTAGAGAACGGCATCGGAGGCGAGCTGGGAGAGGTTGTTGGGGGTGTTGACCATGACGGTCTCGAGGTGCTCGAGGCGCTGAGCGACATGTCGTAGGTCGGAGGAGCGGACCTTGTAGCCGGCGTCGGCCAAATAGCCATCGATCTCGGCGGTTGGTTTGGTGACGGAGGAGGAAGACGAGGAGCTGGCGCTGCTGCTGACGCCGGAGCAAACGGTGGAACCATAGGGCCCCATAGATATAATTGTGGGTGCGCTGATCAAACTGAAGAGAGGAATTGGGTGGGTGAGGATGGATTAGATACGAGGTGGGTGTTTGTGGGTTTTGGTGTTCATTTCCATTTCCCTTTCCATCAGGGAAGAGATAGATAGTGAGAGAGAGTGAGGAAGTAGTGAGCGATGAGTGGAAAGAGATGGATGAAGAAATAGGGCGGAAGTGAGAGAGAGAGAGGGGGGGTTTTGATACGGACGAGTAGGGAGGAAGAAGTGTAGTGTAGGACAGAGATGACTGCTGACATGTTCCTGTGGTCCACTACCCACCAACTGTATAGTGTATATACTGCTTTGCTTCCTTTTTCCTTTTTCCTCTTTTACTTCCACTATTTCTCATGGATTTGTTTTTCCTCTTCATTATTTTATTTGATTTGGAGTAGTTGTGGCTGTAGCCTACTAGTCTCTATGTTAATGCTTATTTGTTCAACTAAAATAATTCATTCATAATAAGTAATCTATCTTTTATATAAAGAGCATTTTAAAAATGAATCGTCCTTGGGTAAATTAAATAAAATGATATGTAAGTTAGATCAGTTAGTCTGACAATGCATCTATATTCGAGTCTCATTTTCTTACTAAATTAATTTAAAATAATTTAGATAATCACTTGTATAAATATATTTATTTATAAATTACAATTGAAAAAGTGCGTAAAAAAGTCATACTAGTAATAGTTGCTTTTATATTTTATCTTAAAATACGTATAGACATTTACATGAAGAGAGGAGATGAGATGAGATGAGAGGAGAGTCCACAGTGCCGGCAGCAGGCAGGCAGGCAGGCACAAAATAAGAGACTGAGTCAGTCAGGTGTCAACTTGGCTTCACCGTTTACTCATCTCATGAATTAGCTGCACTCAAACTTTCCATCCATTCGAAGCTGATCAATTACTACGCAATTTCCAAGCTGATCAATTACTACGATTTCTCTGGTCTGGAATAATATTATTTTAATCCTAAACTATTTGTGTGTAATTTTCTACCAAATCATCTGAATTCTGTCTAATCAAAAGATTATATTGTCTCTAATTTCTTTAATTTTCTTTTGATTTGGTATGATCTCTTTGTTGAATAATGTACTTCTATAATCTATACTTACATTACACGTGCTGAGTGAGTGAGTGAGTGAGTGCAGAGAAGAGGAGAGAATATAATTAAGCATCATGAAGCAAGATTCGCTCTTCATAATTTGGTATTAGTCTGTTTGGTGCAGGTGCATATATTAATTTATTGTTAAGTATATCATTTAAATTTAATTAATTTTATAATCTCAAGTAAACGAACTACAAAGAAACCTGGGAAAGCTTATGCGAGATTAGGAGGCTAGTTCAGCCAAATTCGAATCTCGCTCCACGTATTAGTAGTGATTAACGTAAATAGTGATATTGGTAGGCCTTGACTCGTGAATTTGATGTGAACATATACATTTATTTCAAATAGATCTTTCCATCCAACATTAATTAGCCCTCAATGCAGAGTATGATGATGACCTTATGCTTAATTAATCGGAATCCCTATCTAGCTATGATTATTACTACTACTGATCCCCTAATCCCTTGATTGGTCAAATCCACGAGCTGACCTTCAATTCAACCATTAGCAAATAGCAACCACTTGAATTCTTTACTTAATTAAAATGAATAGATAGGTTTAAAAAATCATTTATCTCTTAATCTCCACAGAGTTATTGAGTGTATTGACAGTAACAGTTTGGGTTAATAATTATTGACCCTCCTCGTCCTCTATAATTAATTAAGGAACCCTAATGCTCTCTTATGCATATAATGACATGAATGATTGGCTCCCACCCTGCAGAACCCATCAACGGGACCACTTGAATGAGAGAGGAGATTAAATAATTTAGTTTGGCACCTTAGTTCATTTTATATATGCTTTTGTTTATCTTATCAATAAAATATTATCGCTATTTTATAATTAAAAAAATTGTAACTTTCTATTCATTCACGTCTATATTAATCTTGGTCGCTTTAAAAATGATCCTTCAACACATAAAAGGGACGTTATGTGTGTTGCTTTAAACATGAATGAATGAAGGGACCTCAACATCAAGCAGATTGTGGGACTTATTGAATTTACCTACAAAAAAAATGTATAGAAAAATAACAAGAAGAATGCACCTTGTTAGCTACCCTACACTTACATTGACAGTATTTTTATTATAGTTACAGCGTCATTGTAATGCCGAATATTCCACATCACCCAGACATGTGTCGTATTTTTATATTTATATTTCAATATTTTATATAAATATTTTATTTTATAATGGTGTCGTTGTTAATATGAATGCATGATCAAATTATAATAGATTAAAGTGTTATGATAATTTAGGACAAGGAAAGATTCAATATTGATCCCCAACTTGGCTATTAATTAAAAGATATACATAGACAGGGTTTTCTACATCGTATTTATTCACAGGAAATTAGAAATTTACGCGGTTGGTTGATGTAGTTTTTTATTTTGCAGGAGGTACGCACTTGAATCAGAAACCCTTTGTGCAACATCTGATTCTGATCTGCGCGTGCTCCTGTATGAGTATGTTGTACATTAACAAAAGAAAAGAAAAAGCTCAAAGCTCAAAGCTGATGCAAATAGGCAATGGCCATTGAAAAGCTGAACGAGTCAAATTCTAGACATGCGGCTGGCTCTTCATAATTCTCAGGACCTGTGAACTTATTTGTGGCCATCAAGGCAATAGTTTACTGTGCATTAATAATATAAAATCCAAACTTACAAACCATGCATATATAATAATATAATTCTCTCACAATTCTATGAGATTTAGGAAGTCAGAAAAAGATCTATGACAGGTTAACCAATGGGCAATTATTTAGAGAGAGAGAGAGAGAGAGAGAGAGAGACGCACACACACACACACACAGGTTTTGATGGTTCAAAAGTTTTCCATGAAATATGTAAAAAGCTTTTTCCTCGTATTGGTGGGGGTGGGGGGTTGGGTGGTCCAATATTAGATCAAGCCCCGAAAGAAATAATTAAGAGTAGAGTGATGAGCATAGAGCAATAGTATTGGGTGGGGGAGAGGGAGAGAGAATAAAGTAATGCAGGAACAACTTGATCTTCCCAATTACAAGTAAGAGCCGCATGCAAATCTAGGTTAGGTTAGCAGATGTAATGTGGTTATCTTTTACATCCGACTTCGAATTCGAATCCAAATAGTAAATAGTAAATAATAAATAGTAAATGGTAATAGATAGGAGGAGGTTTTTTTTAAAAAAAATAATCGAATGAGGAGGTTAAGAGAGGTGTGGGGTGGTCCAGTGGGTAACATGGAACTTGGGACCAGACCAGAGAGCGAGCAAACTCACAAAGCCCAAAAAGCATGTGAATTTAAGTGAAAATAGCAGATGTTATGTTCGAGGAGGAGGCGGAGGAGGAGGAGCCAAACTTTGATTGGGAGGGGAATGGGATGTTGACACGTATATATGGACTGACTGAGTCAGTGTGGGAATCAAAAGGGAGATTCAATATATCTGTGCGCTGGCATTGGCCATTCAGATGGCAATTGCAATTTGCAAACAGTGGTCATGGTGGGGAGTGAGAGACACTGTGCGTCTGTGAAGACTCTCCCAGCAGACTCTCTCTCTCTCTCTCTCTCTCTCTCTGTGAGAAGGAGAGAGAAGTTGGGGTTGGGACCAGAGCATTCCTGTGAGAACATGTTGTGTTTGGGACAATCATCTCTAGGGTGTGCCCCATTCCGTTGTTTTTGCTGACACAATCACGTTATTGCACCCTCTCATTGCATAGCATAATCACATCACATATCAGATACATATCGCACTTGAGCTGTGTTAGCATCAGTTGTCCGTCCACGCGATGACTATATGCTCGCGGTAACTTATAAACATCCCGTAGTATTTCACAATGCATCAACGGCTATGCTAATAGTGTGCTATTTTATACAAAGTTATGTATTATTTAGCTATTTGATTATCAACATTTTCGCTTTAATAGATACACGTGACCGTCGGCATAATATAGCTAACTTTATATATGGCTAAAAGTTACTTATCTCAGCATCCAGCTAAGCACCACAATCAACTTTACCACTTTCAGCACAAGAATGAGTGCTCACCAAAGCTCTGCACTCAAACTGTTTCAATCTAAATAGACATGCAGCAACTGCAACACCAGAACATATCAGATGATGCATTAATTGAATGGTGAATGGATGACAGACCAATACAGAATCTGATCATGTCACGTTATGTAATAAAGTTATCATGCGTGATAGACAGAATGTAATTGACATAAAGATAATAAAATAATGTTATGTTGGTCATCTGTTCTTCTAGCTGCAGTCAGACATTTGAGATTTTAGTAGAGTAGCCCAAACCCTCAAAATTAGACTTGTAGCAAATCTATCTCAACGTGTAACTCTACAAATCAGTTACTATACCACCCACCTATCAATTCAAATGCCTATCTTATGCACATCAAAATCTGGTCTCACATCTCTGTTGGAACGAGGGAGAAAGCCAACTAATGCCAATATTGTTGTGGAATTTTCACTATTGCTCATGCTGTCTTAGCACCGTACAACGAAAGATACTAAAGGAAAAAGAAAGAGGGTGAAATATCATATCACAAGTCAGCAGTCACCACAATTTGTTTTTGCAAAAATTGCGTTATCCATCCACCCTCAAAATATCATACGTTAAACGGTTAAAGTATGCTTCTTTAACGGTAATAACTGACAACGGACACAGTCACAGACTCCACAGAGCAGCAGCAATGGCTGCTCCTCTTTCCCTCCACTACATCAGACTACCTTTCTCTTCAGATAATCCAATCTTACACAACAAACCAACCACTTCCACCGCCATCGCCGCTGCCCCCATCACCACCGCCACCAAAACTAGTAGGACCAACAATCCAATTGAACCACACCCATGTCTCGCATTGCTAGACAAATGCTCCACCATGTCCGAGCTTAAGCAAATCCACGCCCAGCTCCTCCGAACCGGCCTCTTCTTCGACGCCTTCACCGCCAGCAAAGTCGTTGCCTTTTCCGCTCTGGAAGGCTCCGGAAGCCTCCATTATGCTCGTTTAGTCTTAACTCAAATCCCCAATCCCACCACTTTTACTTGTAATTCGGTTATTCGAGGCTACACCAACAAGGATTTGCCCCGTGAAGCCATTTTTTTCTACCAAGAAATGATCATCCAAGGTTGGGTGCCTGACAGGTTTACATTCCCATCTCTGTTCAAGTCTTGTGGGGATTTGTGGGAGGGGAAACAGCTGCATTGCCACTCTACCAAGTTGGGTTTCGTTTCGGATTCATACATTCAGAACACGTTGATGAATATGTACTCGAATTGTGGGTGTTTGATCTCGGCTCGCAAGGTGTTTGATAAAATGTTGGAGAAGAGTGTGGTTTCTTGGGCAACCATGATTGACGCTTATGCGCAGTGGGATCAACCCATTGAGGCTTTAAAGCTGTTTGATAAGATGGAGAGTGAAAGTGTGGATCCTAACGAGGTTACTTTGGTTAATGTTTTGACAGCATGTGCCAAGGCAAGGGATTTGAAAATGGCCAAAAGGGTGCACCAGTACATTGAAGAGAATGGTTTTGGAAACCATTTGAAGCTCAATACGGCACTCATGGATGTTTATTGTAAATGTGGATGTGTATTGCTTGCTCGAGATTTGTTTGACAAGATGCCCGAGAAGAACTTGTTCAGTTGGAACATTATGATCAATGGACATGTTGAGGATAGTAATTATGATGAGGCCTTCCTACTCTTTCGTGAAATGCAGCTTAAGGGCGAAAAGGGGGATAAGGTGACCATGATAAGTTTATTGCTTGCTTGCAGCCATTTGGGTGCTCTAGAGCTTGGAAAGTGGCTGCATGCCTATATTGAAAAGGAGAAGATTGAGGTGGATGTTGCCCTCGGGACGACACTTGTCGACATGTATGCGAAGTGTGGGAGCATAGACGGTGCATCGGAAGTTTTTCGAAAGCTGCCTGAGAAGGATGTTATGACTTGGACAGCCTTGATTTCTGGCTTTGCAATGTGTGGACAAGGGAAGAAGGCTTTGGAGCATTTCCATGAGATGCAGATGAGTGGAGTGAAACCAGATGCAATAACCTTTATTGGGGTATTGGCTGCTTGTAGCCATGCTGGATTAGTGGATGAAGGAATTTTGCATTTTAACTCGATGCATGAAGTGTATGGCATTCAGCCTAGCATTGAGCACTATGGTTGCATGGTTGACATATTAGGCCGAGCTGGTCGCATATCTGAAGCAGAAGAGTTGATTCGGAAGATGCAAATGCCACCGGATCGTTTTGTTTTGGGAGGGCTTCTTGGTGCCTGTAGAGTCCATGGCAACCTTGAGGCTGCAGAAAGAGCAGCTCAACAGCTTCTAGAACTTGACCCGGACAATGACGGAGCGTATGTGCTTCTTTCAAACTTATATAGCTCTATGAAAAAGTGGGAAGAGGCCAAAAGAATTAGGGAACTCATGGCAGAAAGAAATGTGAAGAAAGCTCCAGGTTGCAGTCTGATTGAGGTTGATGGTATTGTCCATGAATTTGTGAAGGGTGATTCATCTCACCCGCAATCGACAAACATCTATGAAATGCTTCAAGACATGATCGAGCGGTTAAAGAAAGCTGGTTATGTTCCTGAGAAATCAGAGGTGTTGTTGGATATAGATGAAGAAGAGAAGGAGACTGCACTGAGCGTACACAGTGAAAAGCTGGCAATTGCATTTGGGCTCATAAGCACAAACCCAGGGACAAAATACGAGTTGTGAAAAACCTCCGTGTATGCAGTGATTGCCACACTGCAACCAAGATCATCTCCAAAGTTTACAACAGAGAAATTATTGTGCGGGATAGGAACCGATTCCATCGATTTCAGGATGGATCTTGTTCTTGTAAGGATTTTTGGTGATGTAGCTTTAGTTAAATATATTAAGATCCTTCAAAATTCTTGTTCACTCACGAATTCACAGTTTTGGTGTCATTTTATATATTAATTCAAAGCATCCCCACAAATAGCGGATCGATCAATAAGCTAATATAAAAGTATTAATTTGTACGTGGAAACTGCTACAAGACATATAACTTCAGAAAGTGGATGCGTAGACACGAAGTTCTTTGCGTGCTTGTATGCTGCACGTTAATAGTATCTTCACAAAAGAAAGACAGAAAGAAAGAAAAAGTATCACACCAGCGAAGCAGGGGAGGTTTGAACTAAACTAAAGATCCTCCCCTTGTCTTAACTATAATGATATAAAATTCAGTGTAAATGGAACTGACGATATATATTGAACTTCACAAACTGGATTTTCATCGAACGATGCACAATCCGCGGTACACTGTTCATATCGGCATTTGGCTATTAATATCTGTATAGTTGGAGATGAAATCTAACCAACAATGAACTGTAATATATAACCCCACTGGGCCATCGCCAAACAGGTTGGAATCCCAAACTTAATTCAGGAAGAAATAATCTTCCTATCAATATTCTAAAGAAAAACATGAAAACTTTTGGCACACATTGCTTTGGTTTTAATAGTCCTTGGGCTACGCAAGAGAGCATGCAACCATCATGTAACAGAAATGAATCAGACACCAAATAATTTCCAGATAAAAACAATGGCATTGTCATTAATCACTGGTGAAAAGATCAGCTGAAGTGCTCTCAGATATCAAATTGTAAGAACATAATTCGTGTGTAAACCAGATACAGAAATACCTAAGATGCTAAGTGCTAAAGATAAAACTTCAAACATGCACTGCCGCTTCACCAGTAGCTAAAATATGACCAGGCAGGAATGGAATTCTCATATAGAAGCAAGTTTAACAGAAACTGCCTTCCCTTGATTTTCTTCAGGAAAGTCATCACCATCATTCTCGCTGGGAGTCTGCTTAGACACTGTTGTTTCGTGCTGGGATGGAGTACTGCCAGCTCCAGTCACTGACTGCTGATAAAGAACACCCCCTATAATTGTTAAGAGGAGGCAGAGCAAACCAAAAGGACTGGCATGCTTATCCCAAATCAGCACATTGATGGCAACCGTAAGAAACTTATTAACAACACCAGTCACTGTAAATGCTGTTGCAGAGATTGCCTTCCTAGCTGCAAACCCAAAGAAACTGATGAGCAATCCAAACACACATGACAGTGAGACTGCGAAAAGTGCACCAGGTTCAAAGAAATTCGCAGCATTCGATCCCAAAGCACCAAACACTTCAGCATATTCTCCGGTTATAATCCAAAACGGTGGGGCCATCATTAGTGACAACAGATTGTTGTACAACACAAAACCCCAGGTGTTCAACCCGAGATTAGTGACCATATGTTTAATATAAACCATCTCAGTTGTAATGGTCACCAAATATGCAAATGCCCATGAATAAGCGGTCAAAGTGAAACCCGAATCAGTGGCCACATAGCCAACAGCTCCGCCCAAAATGATCAACAACGACACGAAGGTAAGCTTAGATGGGATTGGCTGTTTCCTAAAGGCAGTATCCGCTAGCGCAACCAAAAGGGGTGTGCATGATCTAAACACTATAAACGTATCCACATTGGCATGGCGAAGAAGATTAGTGTTGGTAAAGATTGCAAGGTAGAACACAAAGGCAGCAGGCAAAAACTTCTTGGCCGTCTGGAGTGAGAAGGGATCATGGTGTAAAAATCCAAACTTTCCCAGAGCCCAAACTCCCAAAGCAGAAGTAAGGTATTGCAGTGCGGTCAAAAGGCCAGGGTAGTTGAATTTGGTAATGGCAAACTTGTTTATCACAGCTAACAAGCTGGAACAGAGTGCATACCCGACCACGAGACTGCTCGTGGCGAAGTACGGCTTAGTTGAATCAACTCTAATCGAAGACATTGAGACTAATTAATGCACCCAATTCAAATTCAGAGCAAAATCTAGCAGATCTTCAAAAATTTCAAGAACTACATATACAGTGAAGGACAGCACTATGAAAGGTTAAGTGAATGAGAACGAAGAGGCAAGAACTTCATAGAAAATCCAACATATGGGTATTGAAGATTATGCCGATCTGCTATATTGGTCAGGAAATTAATACATAAAACGACGATATATTGGATTGAAATGTATACATAGAGAAGAAATTGTACATCACCGACACAGAGAAAAGCACAGATCTTGAAGCAGAAGGAAGCAGAGGATGGCCTCGCTGTGGAGGCTGAGATCTCAGAGAGGGCTTTGGAAAGCTTAGAGAAGCGAAATGGGGGAGAAGAACACAGAGAGAGCCTTGCAGAACAGGGAGAGAGACCGATGAATTTCTATGGCGTTGATTTGTCGAAATAAGAAGACGGTGAAACGGCTTCGTTTTAAGAGTTGTTGGTTTTGGTTTGATTGGACTATGTCGTCGTGCGGGGGTTTATGTGTTAATGCCGTAGTTAATGGAGTGATATTTATTTAATATTAAAGATTTCTTGAGGAGGATCTCTAAAGATTTCCCCAATTAATGATCATGTAAGTGTGAATATAATAATAATAACAACATGAAAGGTAAAGAAAAAAATAGACAAAACATGTTGTCAAAAAATATTCACACCTACCTCACTGAATATAAGCTAAAGTTGAAAAGGGTTTGTAGGTTAAGTCGGTTGGCCAGGATGATAAATCCGGCTCATTACATCTGAATTAATATTATAAAGTAATTTATCCTATTACTTGTATTTAAGAAAGGAAAATAAAAATAAAAATTGAAGGTTGGTGCACTAATCAAATTGTTGGGTCGTTTTGAAGCCTTCAAGTAATGTTCACTCTTGAAGCCCAATATAGGCCCAAATTATTGCAAGCTATTGACACATCAAATTAGGCCCAATATTAGAACCAAAGCAAGCAAGCAAAATCACAACCAACAAGAAGCCGAATATGCTCACCCAAAAACACAACGGTCAATCCTTCATGTTCATTTCCCGCCACTTCCTATCTGCCATTCCTCTTCCCAACCTCCTGTCACAACCCCACACTAACCAAAGCATCATGCATCCAATAAAGAGACCTCTCTACAAGGAGTCAAAGGCCGTTGGTTCTGCAAAATTGGATCACAGTGGTTTGCTGAATATCGCTTTACTGTGGGGGCTCTCCAGTATCTTACTTGGACTAGGCCTTATCTCTAATATGCAGTCAATCATGTGTGTCAGTTTATGCATACTCCAAAAGACCCTCATCTACAAGCAGTAAAAATAATTCTGAGATACCTTAAAGGCACAATCAGCCGTGGTCTTTTTATTCAAAAGCAAGCTACTAACGTTCTATCTCTGCAAGCCTACTCTGATGCAGATTGAGCAGGTTGCCCTTATGATCGACGATCTATTGGAGGTTATTGCATCTTTCTAGGATCTACTCTCATCAGTTGGAGTGCAAAGAAGCAATCATCTGTGGCAAGATCCTCAACTGAAGCTCAGTACAGATCACTCACTTTAACAGCATCTGAGCTTTCATGGATTGCAAAGTTATTTGCAGATATTGGTTTCAAACTTCCCTCTCTTCAAGTCTTATGGTGTGATAATATATCTGCCATAGCACTATCAAATAATCCTGTGTTTCATTCTAGAACTAAACATTTTGAGCTAGATTTCCACTACGTTAGAGAAAAGGTTCTCAATCAAAAATTGACTGTGAAGTATGTTTGTAGTCAAGACCAAATTGCTGACATTCACACCAAGTCTTTGAGCAAGCAACGTTTCCTTTTTCTCAGTTACAAGCTTTCACTTCAGTCGCCTCCATTCAGCTTGAGGGGGTGTAAAGAGACCTCTCTACAAGGAGTCAAACAAGTCAAAGTTAGTTAGAATATTGATGTTAAGTCTCTGTTTAGTCAGCTGCAGTTTTGATATGATCTGTTGGATATTGTTAGAGCACGACTCTTGTACAGTAAGCAAAGTCAGGTTTTAGTCTTTGTATAAATACTCGGATGTAATTTAATTATCATTAATGAGAATCTATATTTTCCTTTATCCAATTCCTTCAAAGCTGCAAATCCATGAACCAGCTCAAACAGATCCAGTCCCAGATGTTTCTTCTTGGTCTACACCAAGACAGATTCACCCTCAGCAAGCTCATGGCCTTTTGCACAGACCCATCCCTTGGAAACTTGAATTACGGTGAGGAAGTCTTCCATTACATCCAAAACCCATGTTTGTTCGTTTACTATAGAATGATTAAAGCGTTTGCTAAAAGGGGTAGTTTCAGAAGTGCCCTTGAGCTCTTTCGACGGCTGAGGGAAGAGGGCTTGTGGCCGGATAGTTTCAAGTACCCATTTGTTTTTAAAGCCATTGGATGCTTGAGAGAGCCTCGTGAAGGAGCAGAGGTTCATGGGCTTGTTGTAAAAACTGGCTTTGAGTTTGATGCGTATGTATGTAACTCGCTCATTGACATGTATACTGACTTGGGTATGGTTCGAAATTTTAAGCAATTGTTTGACGCAATGCCTTACAGAAATTGGCTTTGTTGGAATGTTACGATTTCAGGGTATGTTAGGTGCAGGAGGTTTGAGGATGCTTTTGATATGTTCCAGCGGATGCGATGTGAGAGCAATAAGAAGCCTGATGAGACTACGGTGGTAAGCACCCTTTCGGCTTGCACAGCATTGAAAAATTTGGAGCTTGGTAAACAAATTCACGACTATGTTAAAAGTGAGCTTAAATTGACTACTCTAATCGGAAATGCATTGTAGAACATGTATGCTAAGTGTGGTTGTTTGAATGAAGGCCGGCGAATTTTTGATGAGATACCATCGAAAAACGTGATCTGTTGTACTAGTATGGTGTCTGGGTATGTAAATTGTGGTAGGCTGGATGAGGCTAGAGAGGTTTTTGATGTGAGTTCAATTAAGGATGCTGTTCTATGGACCGCTATGATTAATGGGTATGTGCAATATAACCGTTTTGATGAGGCGGTGGCTCTATTCCAAGAGATGCAAATTAGAAGAGTTAAAGGAGATAAATTTACAGCGGTTACTCTCCTCACATGCTGTGCTCAGTCGGGAGCATTAGATTAGAGCAAGGGAAATGGATTCCCAGGTACATAGATGAAAACGGAATTAAGATTGATGCAGTTGTTGGTACTGCTCTTACTGAAATGTATGCAAAATTTGGGTGCATAGACAAATCCTTGGAGATTTTCAATGGATTAAGGGAAAAAGATGCAGCCTGTTGGACTTCAATCATTTGTGGGCTTGCAAAGAATGGCAAGGCGCATAGCAGTCGAGTTGTTCTCAGAAATGATACAGATTGGCATCAACCTTGATGACATTACCTTCATTTCTGTTCAAAGTGCTTGCAGTCATGGAGGGTTGGTTGACGAGGGCCGTAAGTTCTTCAACTCCATGAGAAAGATGTATGAAATTGAGCCAAAGTTAGAACACTATGCTTGTCTGTTTGACCTCCTTGGTCGAGCTGGACTGTTAGATGAAGCAGAGGAGACGGTAGAGTGGGTTCCAAGTGAAAACAATGAGATTATGATTCCACTTTAAGGTGCTTTGCTTAGTGCTTGCAGAATCCATGGCGATGTTGAGATGGGTGAAAGAGTAGCTAAAAGGCTAGCGGATATTGAATCAAGCGGCTCTAGTGTTCACACGCTTCTAGCCAATACGTACGCGTCTGCCGACAGATGGGAAGATGTAACAAAGGTGAGAAGGAAGATGAAAGATCTTGGAGTTAGAAAGATGCCTGGGAGCAGTTCAATTGAGATTGATGGCATTGTCCATGAGACAGAGATTAATATTGTGTTACACAGATGATAAAGCAATTGTTGGGTTTAGAAGAGAAGGGAATGGAAAGAGAAAACCTAGTTTTAATTGGTTTATGATGAATGAATGCAGATGTTCTAAAATTTTATGCCCCAATTTATATGTTGCATCCCTTGTCATATGACTGCAGCACATCCAAACCTAAGATTTGGATCATTACGATAAAAGTTCAAAGTATGCTCTTAATAACCTTTCACAAAAACTTAAGATAATATTGTAACGACCCCACCCCATGTCCCAATGACATCTTGGGTACATGGAATGGAGCTAGCTAAATATGGTGCTAATCAAGTCACTGGTTATACTTATACATAATATAAAAGGTACGTACTAATTAATTAAGATGATAACAAGTAGTAGAGTCTAGGTAATTGATTATTTATGCAGCCGGAGCAAAGTCATAGTCTCCATCATCGTCGTCGTCGTCGTCCCCTTCTGAGCATGTCACTGCACAAGGGGCAAGACCCTCAAATTTAGGGTCATCTCTACCTTCTCCATCTGCATGCTTCTTGCACCACAAGGCAATATTGTTCTCAGAAATGGGACACATTTTCTGTTTTTGTATGGGAATAAAAAGAAGAATAAGAAGAATGCTGGAAGTAGTTAGAAGGGGTGTGTGTGGAGAGATTGAGTCTGCAAGGTAATATAGGGTGATATATATAGAGGGAGGGCGGGAGGGAGGAGAAGGTGGCGGTGCATTAATTCATATATATGCATGTAAAACTCATACATGCGCAAGGCATTCACGTGGGGAGTGTGAATAATGCATGAAGGCTGTGCAAGAACCACTGCCCCATGAGAGGTGGTGCTCTGTCATCCAGCCACCTAGGATTCACAGAAGACAATTCAGCAAACACGTTGGTGCGAGTGTGTACGTTTTGACGATAAAATTGAAAGAAAAAGAAATGAAGGAAAAGATCTTCGGCCCTCTGGGTGCATGGTTGGGCCATTCTTGGATTGGATACACGAATGCGATTGAGATATATATATATAATTGGTGGAAACTGAAAGTGATGGATCGAATCGATGCTTTATTTTATCTACATAAAGCTAGCAAAGATATTTAATTTAGCTCGAGGAAAATCGCCACAAATATAAAATAAAGATAATGTTCTTATTTAATTGACTGAAGGAGATTTTAGTATTCTTCTTTCTTAATTTCTTTCAGGTCAATATGAGTTGATTTTGTTATTTCAATGAGCACTGGAATAATGTCATCATGTCGGATCGTTAATTTATGATCGTGGACATATACTGGACCAGCATCATGTCACACTAGTAGTCGCTTTCGACCAATATTGTTAATACACATGTGAGATAACATATATATAATTTTATTCCTCGAAAATTATCCTAAAAGAATCTTGATAAAGAGAACCCCTTTATCGTACGATATAATATATGCATATACATCTGGTCTTTGTCAATTTGAAGTTTGAACAGACCAGCCTACACAGAGAGAGCCTTAATATTTTACCAAACATTGAACATTTCAAGGCTTGTTTAATAGGGATGACTAGACTAGCAACACCTCTTTATAAAATAAATAATAATAATTATTTTTTGTCCAGGGCCGACACTGTTAGTAACATCACATGGTGAGCTTACTAATGGGATTTAAACATTTATTAAGTCTCACTTTTATTTAAGATTGTCAAGTTCAACAAATAGGGTGAAGGAAGTTGAGGTTCCACTCCAAAATCAATTGGCAATAGGGAGAGTAGCTCAACTCCTTATAAGCCTTTACTCGGTTTCTTAACTTTCCAATGTGAGACTTTTACCTTCAAATTTGGTATCAGAGCGACCTAGAAAGTTCTCCGTACACCATTTTGAGTAGGTGGAGGAGAGCTTAGAAGGTTGCAGGGCGTCACCGGTGAGGTACCCCAATTTTTCGCGGGCAGCAATACGCATCTCCATGACCTGAGACCATAAGGCATAATTGGTCTCAGTCAAGATTATGCCGGTCGGAAACAGAGTGTTGTCACTATGAATAGTAACAATTTGGGAGGATGGTGGAGTGGATTTTGTGGGTTCGGAAGTCGAGACGATATCCATGGCAGCGGAAGGATAAAAAATATGTGTTTAGGAATTTGAAGGTATGAGGGATATGTATGGAGATCTGAATTTGGGGAAGATAAAGGTGAGGAATATGATATAGGGTTTGTGTTTGAGGAAGTGTGAGATGAGGAATTAGGGTTTGTGTTTGAAGAAATTTGATATGAGAAGTTAGAGACAACCGAGGATCGATTGCTCTGATACCATGCTAATACATTCAAACTATATTCATATTTTAGCATAGGGTAATTAAACCAATCTCATTAATAAATCAACGTCAGCTTCACAAACTAACGAATATCAAAATTAAAATATAACATATAATAAGTAAATAGACGGAGCTCCCTCGCATACTCGAATCACGTGTGATTGACATGAAAAAAACAACAGCAGTCACTGGTTGTAGCCATGTCATTTGATCATAGCAATGATCAGGAAGCTTTATTCTGAAATAGTAATTATAATAGCCTAATAGCCACGGAACACGATGATCAGCATCAGAGTCATGCTACTGGTGCAAAATCATAGTCAGGATAGTCGTCGTCGTCGTCGTCACCATCCCATTCAGTGGACGCTGCTGGAGCGTAGTCATAGTGGGGAACGTCGTGGTCATCCCCGTCATAAGTACCAATACGAATCTTGTAGCATACAGCAAGGCCATAAACGTCATCTCCATCACCATGCATATAGTTGGAGTAGCATGAGAGGCCGATGAGCTTGAAAATGGGAGCCATGAAGTAGTAATTTTAATGCAATGACTAATTTTGAAGTAGCAAAGAAAATGTTATGGGCTACTAAAATTTAGTTGATGAAGAAGAATAAGAATGAGTGTGAAGAGTAGCAAACTTGGAAGCATGTATATATAGAGCTTGGAGAGAGCGCGTTGGCGTAAGTGTTGCGTAGGAAACGAGGTGCAGATCGGAACCATGCACGCGTTTCATTTCAGATCAATACAGAGAAGCTTCATACCAGTTGATAGTTTTGTAATGTGTATTGCCTTCCGCTTGGAGCCTAAAATGATATTTGAATGATTTATTTATTTATTGTGTGACCTGGAAGTCAAAATATATTTTTAAAAACCGATTAAATCTGATGGAGTGTGCAGTTTTCAGTTGTTGATTCTTGACAAACAAACAAAGCATGCAGCTTGAAACTGAAACATCTATGGCATATACCTTTCCCCGTCCCTCTTTTTTTAAAAATTAAATATCAACTCAAAATAAGAAGGATTTATTAACAATAACCCAGACGTTTTTTCTCATGAATTTAGTGCTTATCATACCATTGAATCAAGCAAATTAATGTGGAGCATGAAACGTGTGCTTCACTCAAATCGGAACGCAATCCAGTTGCTACTAATTGCTATAGATACCACTTTCATTAGCTACTACGTTTTTCATATTAATCACCCTCCATTTTGCTTTTATATATATATATGAGAAATTGACTATAAAGTCGTCCTCCAACTATACCTTGACTTGCATTCTTTCTGTCAACTCTATCAATTTTTCCGTCAAATTTAGGGCTATATTTGTCTTTCCACATACTGAATTCTTCAAGTCTAACAGGGTTGATAGAAAGGACAATTTCTGTAAGTTGAGGCATAGTTAGAGGACGACCATAACTATTTTTGAAGTTCATGGACAAAAATGTAAGTCGGGATATAATTCAGGGACCACTGTTAAATTTTAGCTTATTTTAATAATAGCCATATCTATAATTGCCATCATTAGAAACCACACAAATAATAATTGGTCGCATATGACTTCATTAAATCAAAGGAGGTACACGTTGATTAATTAGCTCGAAATTCCATAACAAAAATTTTCCAAAGGATCGAGCAATCCTAGCAATTAATAGTACATTCCTTAATTTATCAAAGCTAAATATTACCGCTCTATCAAGAACGTATGCAATTACTAGTTAGTCATGCAGCTGGAGCATAATCATAACCACCATCATCATCGTCATCGTCATCCCCCTCCATGGCTGCTGCTGCTGCTGGAGCATAGTCATAGTCTGAATCATCGTCATCGCCGTCGCCTTCTATACATGCTGCCAGGGCAAATATATCATCACCGTTGAAGTCGTTGACTCCATCGCCATGCACCTCGCACCATGAGGCACTGATGATCAACTTGGAAAGGGGAAACATTTCCAACAATTTGGAAAGGGGAAAAAGAAAGAAGAATAGAAAACGGCTGGTGTTTGGGAAAACGGGAAGGTTTTGATTGGATTTGAATAAGAATGTTTGAGGGTTTGCCTGGTATATATAGAGTGGAGAAGTTTGCTGGGCTCGTTTTGCCACAAGTTAGTCGCGTGTTGAGAGTGTGGACTTGTGCTTCAAGGGTGTGCTAGCCTACTGCATGCATGTGAAATGTGCCACTAATATAGCACTAATGTGGTCCAGCTATATATATATAGCTATATACATATACATATACATATATATATGTATATATATAGATGTACGCACTTAACATACAGATTTTGTATGCACTAATTAGCAAAGATGACCAAAAAAGGAACCATATTGACCTGGCTTTTTAACAGAAATGGAATTTTCTACCGTCCATGTATTGCCACATAAAAGGCATTGCAGCCACTAATTTCAGATGGGCCCTGTGAGTGTGACTAAATATCAGCTGAGATGAGATTCTGACTGACTGATCCAGTTGAGATGAGATTCTGAAAATGGTGGGGTTGATGACACTTTTTTCTCAAAATTGAACACCAACCAATCAAACTTTTGGCTAAGATTTTCGTACGCCAAAACCCAAAGCAATGCACCAAACTAACACAAACACCACAACCTTAGCCGTCAGCCCCACAAAATGAACAGCACACACCAAATTTTCAGGCCATTAATTCCTGCCGCCTGTGTTAGTTTCCGGCGGCTGAGCACCTCTAAGCTACTGCCCTGCCCACGTCCGAAAGCTTTGAAACACAGACACTTGTCACTTCAAACAACCCAAAACTCCAAGTGGGCTGTCAGGCTAAGCTTACTGGACCAAAGCCCGCCAAAATCTAAACCAACGGTTGACGTGGATCGGTTAGTGGATTTTTTGTACGAGGATCTTGTCCATCTCTTTGATGATCAGGGAATTGATCGGACGGCTTATGATGAGCGTGTGAAGTTCAGGGACCCAATTACGAAGCATGACACGATAACTGGGTACTTGTTGAACATCTCCTTCTTGAAGATTGTGTTCACGCCTAAGTTCCAATTGCATTGGGTCAAACAGGTAACACGTTTGCTTTCTCTGTTTTTCTTATTTCATTTACTTTAAAATAATGGAATGATTGGATAATGAGATAAAGATAGATAATTCAATGATCATTTATGCTACATATTCTAGAAGCTGTGATGTTCTTGAAGATTTTATATTGGTTTTAGGATTGTGTTCTGTTGATATTATTGTATGGAACTTGAGTTCTGGTGAATGGGGATTTGAAATTCTGACATCAAAGTAACTTATTGCAATTGTAACTGCACTTCCCTTCATTGAAATGGACTTTATGTAAACCAGCTAAACTTGGATGTGAGTTCTTCTGATATTGTATGATCAGTATATCAGGATTTGAGATCTCATTGATATCTCAAAGCTCATAATCTTTAAGTTTGCAATGAAGCATTCATGTTGGTATTCACTTGAAGAATGCTATATATAATGGCATATGGGTTATGCCTGTTTTACTGACCAAGTTTCTATAGACAGGACCATATGAAATCACCACAAGGTGGACTATGGTTATGAAGTTCATCCCTCTGCCTTGGAAACCAGAATTGGTCTTCACAGGAACCTCAGTTATGGGCATCAACCCGGAGACCGGGAAGTTCTGCAGCCATGTGGTAAGACTTACCTGTCTTTTATAACAAGCCAATAGAATGCATTGTTCATGACATGTTTTAGTAATTCACTATCCTTTGATGTGCAGGACTTCTGGGATTCGATAAAGACGAATGACTACTTTTCAGTAGAAGGTTTGTTGGATGTTTTCAAGCAGGTACTGATCCATTATTCACTTGCCAAGTTGCCATTATATGATCAGAATCATGTACAGAGATTCTAAGTCCCTTCTTGTATTGTATGTAAAACCCTGCAGCTGCGGTATTACAAAACTCCAGACTTGGAAACACCCAAATATGAGATATTAAAACGAACGGCGAATTACGAGGTGTGTAAGCCTTTCAATGAATGTTGTGTTCATCAAAACTCAAGGCTTATAGACTTTATTACCATGTCCTGATTCTACAGGTGAGAAAGTACTCCCCTTTTGTAGTGGTAGAAGGATCTGTGGACAAGCTGTCTGGGTCGGCCGGTTTCAATGATGTTACTGGGTGAGTGCTTTCCCTAGCCAATCATATGTTATTCTTCCCTTTCTTCTCTTGGATGATAAGCATAATGGATTCTGTTTAGGTACATCTTTGGGAAGAACTCCAAAATGGAGAAGATACCAATGACTACCCCTGTCTTCACTGAGGCATCTGATGCTGAATTTTCCCAAGTATCCATTAAAATATGTCTTCCACTGGAGAAGGATATAAGCAGGTGAGGTTCCTTTTTTTGGTTTAGTTCTAAAATATTAAAAGAGGGAAATTAATAGACATGGATCCGCATTTATTTATATGTGATGCAGTTAGTAATAAGAAAATACCTGTGGCCAGTTTACCAGATCCCAATCAAGAAACAATTAGGTTAAAAAAGGTGGAAGGAGGCACTGCTGCAGTTCTGAAGTTCAGTGGAAAGCCTACTGAAGAGATAGTTCGCGAGAAGGAGAAAGTGTTGCGCTCTAATCTTATTAGAGATGGTCTCAAACCTAAGAATGGTTGCTTGCTTGCTCGTTACAATGATCCAGGCCGAACTAAGAGCTTTGTAATGGTATGGTTGTTGTAACCTCAAAGCTCATAATTCTTAGATATCTGTTTTCCTTGAGACCTGACTTCAACCAGTTGGACAGATGTGATAAATAACTTGTGTGAGAATAGGCATAATATAACTTTGGTAAAAAGGATATCTACCCCTTGAAATTTTGAAATTATACTTGAGCATGAAAAAGTTACTGTAGGAAGCACAACTAAGAACACTGGTGTCTGCTGCCTTCAGTACTAGCTGGTTGCATTTTCATTTTGCGCTCTAACTATTGAACTTTGAATTTGTTGTGGGGTTGATTGCATTGTAGAGGAATGAAGTACTGATATGGCTGGAGGAGTTTACATTGGACTAGCATATTGAACATGGCCGTTCTTCTTCGTTCTAAGTCTTCCTGTTGATCATTTTTCTCCACAACTTACGGTAAGAGTTTTTTCTCTTCCCATTACACATTGTTGATTGTTGTAAAGTGTTCCTTTGAGTTGTGAAATCAGATTTACTATCTACTGCTTTCAAATGTCAAATGTTGAGACAAATTCTTGAAACAATGCCCGATCGAATTTGGTCGTTTTCAGAAGTTCCCAATGCAGAATAAAACTCACATCCTGTCCTGGTGGTTTCATTCTGTCCTCAACCATTGCCTTGCCAGTTTCTTTTTTGTTTTTTAAAAAGGCATAAGCACCTGTGTCTCTGTGCTTTATGCTTAATGCTTAAGGTCGTGCGCAAGTGCAAGTGCAAGTTTGCCAAATGCCAACCCAAGCCAACAAAGTTGGTCGCATTTCCTTTTCAACTATTTGCCTCTGCTGACAACGGATGCTTCGTACTTTATAATCATCAAACAGTTTCTGCTGAAAGCTTTTAATCATCAAAGAACTTTCAATGTTCAAACAATACTGTCTCTGTTAAACTCATGTGTTGATTATGAAACAAGGTGATTATTATTGAAGTTGAATCAATCAATGCAATGCAACGCCCTGCTCGCTGGGTAGCTTTGCTCATGGATGGAATGGTAGAACAGCTTGGCACGTGGACCCCTGACAGACAGACAACATATATTCGAGAAAGAGACAGAGAGACAAAGAGACAAGACAGAAAAGAAAAGTTATATCCATGTGAACAACTCATCAACCTCATGGAAATGGTCCCTCAAAATCATAATCAATTATGAACCGTCCCATATACATAAATTACATAATGTAGCTAACATATACTCGAACCAAGTTTAATATAATTTACTCACTCAGGCTTTGTACATTACGCCTCATGACTGCAGTCTGCCGGTGCAATGTGCCTCTCAATTTTAATGTATTTTACCAATACTTAGTTTAGTTGTGATCTCTAATGAGGGATTTGTGATCTAATTAAGAACAGTTTTAGAACATCTTTACTCTGATCATAATGCCGCCATTTTCTTATCAAAATCTTATGACACTTGAAATTTTTATGCTCAAGTTTCTACAATACCATATTTTCATGGTTAAATTCAATCTCGAATGAGCTAGGCATAACCATTCAATTAAAGGGAGATTAAATCTAATTAATTATTCATATTCACAAATATATCACAATAAAATTTGGTTCAGGTTGTCGACTTGTAGTTGATGACACATACTCAGAATTTTGACTAATTAAAAGTCTATCAAATTTATCAACAAAAGCTGCTTTGTCTTGTCCGGATTTATTATAAGTCCTAGAATTTGTTGGTGACACTCACTAAAATTAATAACCAAAAGCAAATTAAATTACAAATCAAAAAATGCAAAATGAAAATTCGGAAAAAGGACTTTTCCAGCACACAGATGACAAATTACGGAAATTTCTTAATGGGAGAAAAATAAAAAAATAAAAAAAATCCAGTGGAGTAAAACTTGATAAGAAGAAGGAAAAAAAAACATGATAAGAAGGTCTGAAAAGTCAAAGAGGCAGCTTGCGCCGCTTTGTAAACGCCGAACGCGTACTCTTCGCTGCTTTCATGGCTTTCCCTTGCCTTGTCGTCCTCAGCTCCTATTTAAACTGAATTAAATATATATAATTCCAACCTCAACCTCTCCTCACGCTCTCTCATTATCCTAATTTTAGTTTAATTTGCAATTTTCATTTCAAATTGGTATTTTGTTTATTACCGTTTGCACCTTGCACGTTATCTATCTCTCTCTCTCTCTCTCTCTCTCTCTCTCTATCTCTTCTCTCCCCTCCCTCTCTGCCTATAGATTTCTCTCTCTTTTGTTCTCCCTTTCTCTTTGGCTTCTGTAGCGACATTCTGAGATCTGGTGGTGGGATCTGACGATTAAAGGTGAGTCTTTTGTTCTGGGTTTTGCCGCATTATGGGACTCGCGGCTTTCTTACGCATGAATATTTGGTCTGTGATCGTTTTATGCATGCTTTTTGCTGTGAAATTTTGTTGGAATCTCTGAAATGTTAAATCCTTGATGTCCATCTCCATCTGGGTTTCGTGCGATTATCGTTATCTTCCATTAGTTCTAGTAATTTTTTTGAAGAATATTTTATTTTTGTGGTAAATTATGTTCTGGGATTACTTTGCTGGGATAAAAGTCTGAAAAAGAGGGGCTTTATTTTTTTCTCACTATCCTTTTAATTTATATATTCGGTCCTTGGATTTAGGTGCTGTAAGTTTGTTTTGCTTTCACTTTTCCATCATCTCAGTGATCTGTAGTTTTAAATCCGGCAGAACCCTCTCTTTTCAAAAATCTATATTGACATCTAAAAGTTGTACAAATTATGTATTTCTTGGGAAGGGATTTCTGGCCCAATTGCAATTGAAATTCTATGCAAATTGCCTATATGCTTAAGAACCTCGTTTTGCCTTTTTTTTGTTTGTTTGTTCTTTTGGCAGTTCCTCTTGTGCGCTTAGAATCAACTATTAATTAACTGTTGTTATGATCTTGTCATGCATTTGATCTCATCCATACTGTTGTATATCTATCAGGGAAAAATGACAGAGCCGAAACCAGACACACCCTTGATCCCACCATCTTCATCATCATCATCATCATCATCATCGCGCAACCTTCCCGACTTCAAAAATTCAGTTAAACTGAAATATGTGAAGCTTGGTTACCATATTCTCATTACCCATGGAATGTACCTCTTTCTTTCCCCTCTTGTTGTTGTTATCGCTGCCCAGATCTCAACATTTTCTCTCCAAGATCTGTATGATCTATGGGAGCATCTCCAATACAACCTAATTTCAGTGATTATCTGCTCGACTCTCCTTGTTTTCCTATCCACTGTCTACTTTCTCACCCGCCCTCGCCCGGTGTACCTTGTTAACTTTTCCTGCTACAAGCCAGAAGAATCTCGAAAATGCACGAAAAAGATTTTTATGGATCAGTCTCAAATGACTGGTACATTCACAGAGGAGAATCTTCAGTTCCAGCGAAGGATTCTTGAGAGATCTGGCCTTGGGGATTCAACTTACCTTCCAGAGGCTGTACTCAACATTCCTCCAAATCCGTCAATGAAAGAAGCTAGAAAAGAAGCTGAGGCTGTGATGTTTGGTGCCGTTGATGAGCTTTTCGCTAAGACAGCTGTAAAACCTAAGGACATTGGAATCTTGATTGTGAACTGCAGCTTGTTCAATCCGACCCCATCTCTTTCTGCCATGGTTATCAACCATTACCAGCTTCGAGGGAACATAGTCAGCTATAATCTTGGTGGGATGGGCTGCAGTGCAGGTCTGATCTCAATTGATCTTGCTAAAAATCTTCTTCAGGTGCATCCTAACTCTTATGCACTGGTTATCAGCATGGAGAACATCACATTGAACTGGTACTTTGGAAATGATCGCTCAAAGCTTGTCTCAAATTGCTTATTTCGGATGGGAGGGGCTGCTATATTGCTTTCAAACAAAAGCTCAGACAGAAGACGGTCCAAATATCGATTAGTTCACACTGTTCGAACCCACAAGGGTGCTGATGATAAGTGCTTTAGCTGTGTTACCCAAGAAGAAGACTCCAATGGAAAGATTGGTGTTACTTTGTCAAAGGATCTGATGGCAGTAGCAGGTGATGCTTTAAAGACCAACATCACCACATTGGGGCCTCTTGTTCTGCCAATGTCTGAACAGCTGCTTTTCTTTGCTACATTGGTTGGGAGGAAACTTTTCAAAAGGAAGATCAAACCTTACATCCCAGATTTCAGACTAGCTTTTGAGCATTTCTGTATTCATGCTGGAGGAAGAGCCGTATTGGATGAATTGGAGAAGAACCTACATCTATCTGATTGGCATATGGAGCCATCAAGGATGACACTCCATCGATTTGGAAACACATCGAGCAGTTCTCTCTGGTATGAGTTAGCTTATACAGAAGCCAAGGGAAGGATGAAGAAAGGAGATAGAACATGGCAGATAGCTTTTGGGTCGGGATTCAAGTGTAACAGTGCTGTGTGGAAGGCTCTTAAGAGCATAAATCCAGCAAAGGAAAAGAACCCATGGATGGATGAAATTGATCGGTTCCCCGTAGATGTTCCAAAGGTGTCAACCTTCTAAATTTAATATGGTCTTCCCCATTCTTATGCCACCACATTTTGGTGGCTTTTGCTAGCTTTCTTTCTTATTGAGGTCTTAGAATTGGTTTTCTTGTTTTGCCGTGTCTGAGGTTCTAGGAATTTGATTGTTTCTTTTAGGACAGGTCTTTGGTGGTTTAGTAGGGTGGAGAGCAGCCAAATTTCACTTATTTACTAAGGGGTGCGGTAGGGATTGTCTGGGGACATTTATTTATTGGTGATTTTAGGACATTAAATTCGAACATTTCGAATTAGGACCTGTATGTTGTAAATCTACTTGGATGTTGGAACTAATTGAATCTACTTGATATATTTGCTTATGCTCTTACTGCTATAAATCTTGTACGTGAATTGGTGCGAGGTTTGTTACAAAATTATCACCACGCATAGAATAGTTGAAAATTACCACCCCGAGGACTATTTTACTGGAATTTTGTGGGGGCCAAAACAATCCTTGTGATCATCTTTGTGATCTCTATCTGCCTGGAAGGCATTTTCAAAACTTCATTGTTGGTCAACAACTGCAGATAATATCCCATGAAATTTTGGATAGAGATCCTGTTTGTTACCTACAAGTGTTTCTAGACATCCCCAATGAAAGCAGAGGGGTTCCACTTTCACCTTCTTATAGCATATAAAAAGTGCACAACCTGAAGTTTTAAAGGGCAAATCGGACGCCATCATCAAGTGCATTCATGCAGATCATAGTTTGGTACATCTTTCTATAAATGAAAAATAACAACGGGTTGTCTAAATATGTCTTTGATACAGGGATGGCAACCGCTTGATGACCAGATTCCTAAAAGTAAGCCTACGATTAAATAAAAAATGCCAGATAATGACATACAGAATGAAGAAGATTAAGCAGCGGAAACAGCAAACTAAGCACGTAATTAAAGTCTCTGGGAGACTCTGTTCCTTGAAGAAATTTGGCATTCCTCTGCAGCTATAGTCCATCTGTTAACTATTCCTTGGTCGATTTGTTGATTAGTGACTTGTGAATGTGAGGGATCACACCTCCACCAGCAATGGTTCCTTTGATCAGGGTATCAAGTTCTTCATCGCCACGAATAGCAAGCTGCAAATGCCTGGGAGTGATACGTTTCACCTTCAGATCCTTGCTCGCATTGCCTGCCAACTCTAACACCTCAGCAGTCAGATACTCCAAGATAGCTGCAGAATAAACCGCAGCAGTTGCTCCCACCCTCCCATTAGCGGTGGTCCTTTGCTTCAAGAGGCGGTGGATCCGACCCACCGGGAACTAGAAATACATAATACGTTAGTAAATGGATGAACATCCAGCAACAAACTTTCCAGTCTTTAGTTTTAGAGATTCAATAAATAAAAAATTGAGACCATCACCAGCAACTACTATTATTCTAGACAATGGGAATGAGGGGATAAAACAAAAAGAAGAAAGACATAGAATACAGAACAGGTTTACAATCCAAATAAACCACTGGGAAAAAAAAGATGGGTGCCAGCATCATATGTGGTAAATTCAAACAAACCATTCACTAGGAACAAGGTCACATCCCTGCTCACCACCCAGAAAAAAATTCCAAAGAACATAATTCTGAACATTTATTCACCAAGGCCAACTATTACTATCAAAGAAACCTAGGATACAAACTTATGGACAACTGAGAGAGAAAGAGACTCCAAAGCATCACGAAAGAAACTATAAATTCATACGCAACATCTTAAAACGTGTCTTATAATAAGTTATTTTCGGTTATGTTTTCCTTGGAAGTTAGAATTGTCAAGGTGTGGGCCAACTATTGGTTTTATATTTCAAGACCCCTCACGCGTGGAACTTTCTTCACTACTAGAGAGCCCAACATATGGAATTGAACATAGATTGACAGGTCGCAGTTGCTGGTATATAAACTCAGAATCTCCCCACTCTAATACCACCATCAGTTTTGTTGAATTTACCACTATTGCTACAAATTAAGATGTTTGAAAGTGAGTTAAAACTATTTTTATATTCTAATATATTGTATAACTTAAGCCAAGAGCACGAATATTTCTATTAAATCTAATACCAATTAATGTAGTGATTAAGCTAAGCTAGTTGTTTGTATTGTCATCTGTGGGAAGGCATAAGGTCTCAAAAGAACATGATCTCAGACACGTTCTCCAAGCCAACCAGGTAACAACTAAACCATGAAGGGCAAACTGTGCATTCTAGATTCTGACACTCCCGTCTTATTGAAACATATTTCTCCCCAAAACAATCTTAAATGGAAAACCACCAAAGATATTATTAAAACCATTGTTTTTCCCCATCATTGTAAACAAAAAACAAAAAAATCACCTCCTTTGGTTGCTCAGACAACTGAGATGTAACACCAGTCATCACTACATCAATTTTGTTCCCAAAATATGAAAAGCACAGTCAAGTTAGGCCTAACAGTTTTAGTGAGTAGCATTCGGGACTTTATCTTGTTTTTATCACCAAATGAAGCAAAGCCCACGGCTAATATTGTCCCAGCTCCAAATAGAAAGCTATCTTCTTCATTCTTTATTTATTGAATGTTTCATAGATTTAACCCAAAAACTCATCCTAAAGAAGCAAAACCCAGATAGTTTTAGAACCCAAAAATGAAAAGAAGAAAATGAAAACGAGACAGAAGTAAAAACCTGAAGCCCAGCACGAGAGGAACGAGAGATGGGTTTCTTCTTGTCCTTGTCTTTGTTGCTGTTGCTGTTGCTGGCACTCTTGCCCATTATCAGACCCTTCGCGCCCTTCCCCGACATCTTTTCCCGCGAAAAAACAAAAGGATTTTTGGTAGGGTTTTACTTATGGGGTAGATATTAATCAGATAACATATAATATATGATTTAATTGGAAAAAGAATCAAAGATGAGGCGCTCTTAGAGCACTCTCTTCTCTGGTCTCTCGCAACACCAACAGAGACAGCCAAAGAGAGGGTCGCGATTCGCAAATGGTCGGCCAGAGTTTGGAAGCCTACTTATTCAAGCCCACTTTGACTAAACTAACCCTCGTACTTTTTTCAATTTACGATACTGGTACCCCTGGTTGTTTTTTTTCTTTTTGTTTATATACATTGGCCTTTCCAATTTTATTAATGTCTTCGAATTCTTTTCCAACACAAAAATGTATCAGTTTTTAAATATCAAAATGTAACATTTATCTCAGAACATGACCAAACCAGTCATTTTTTCCCAACATTTTATATTTTTATTTTTCTCAAGTTTCTTCCAGTACAAAAGCAATTTTAGAAATCCACGAGTGAGTAAAATGCGAAAATCAGAAGATGTTGAAAATGAAGCAGGGAAGAAGAAAATACAAAATTCCAGGCTTGTCGTATACAAAATAGATGTATATAACAGAAAAAGGGGCGCAGCACTCAACTTTATAGGTAATCTGAATATCCAGAAAACAAATCATTTCTCCAGTCGATATCCCAGCAGCAACGAAACAGTGAACTAAAAAGTTGTACAAAAATTCTTGTTTAGTCTCTGTCTATATAATGAAGTAATCAAACTAGGATAGCTCTGAATTATGATGACAGGCATGGCTATTATACTCTGGACCAGCCAGTCACTCATTCCCTGCCTCTTCCTTCTCTTTCGATTTCCCCTCTTCTGCAATGTGGAAGCCCTCGATCTTTCGAGAAACCTCTTCTGCAGGTACCTTCACCTTTCCATTTGCTGCCAGTGCCTCGGTTTCGTCTTGAGTCAAGGGGCCAGTCTGCCATATTCTAATGGTACCATCTTCGGATCCTGAGGCATATGATTCTCCTCCTGGCGAGAAACGCAAACAGTGAACAGGACCATGGTGACCCTTGTTGCATGCTGCATCCAGATACAATTGGATTAATTGAGAATTTGGAGTTAGAAACCCCACACAAGATACAAGGATCATAACAGCACCAGACAGAACGTAGAAATTTAACCTACATGGACTATGACTAAAAGCAGCCATATTGCCTAACTAGTAGTCTATTACAATTAAATCCTGCCTTTACCATGGTTTAAGCAAGCTTTAAGAAATGTTATGTTTAGTTGATATTGCCAGACAACATGTCTTATTCCCCCAATAAAATTCACTTAAAAGGATTATTGTTTTGGAGCACATACCGATCTCATCACCAGTATGGAAATCAAATACATGAACCCACATATCTTCTCCCCCAGCAATGAACTTGTTCCCAAACTTTGGTTCCAGTGAAGCTGATTCTACTGTGCACGGCATGTTGTAGCTCTTCACCAACCCAAAGCTGGAATCAAGTAAAATATCATAAGTCATCCAAGCAGAAACTCTGCCAAAATACAGAACAATCAAACTCATAACTTACTAGTTTGCATCCCAAAACTTCACAGTAGACCCATCAGCAGTTGTGATATAACGACCATCTTGACTCACTTCGGAACTGGTTACAGATGATTTGGTCTCAAGTGTTTGGACTATTTTACCAGTTCTTACATCCCATAATCTGTACATTCACCAGCCACTACCAAGTTTAGTACAGAATACGAAAAACATTATTCTCTTAAATAAATATGTGTGCACCATAAGAGATTAAAACAAAAATCAAAGAGTAGCTTTAACATCAGATGGTTTCAAAGACGTGCATACCTGACACCTCCCATATCAGTGCAAGAACTTAGTATGGTCTGATCACTGTGTAGCCATGCAGCAGTTCTGACTGAACCAGGGGATTTATCCACTTCTCTTGGAGGGGCATCTGGACGATTCAAATCATATATACGGATAACTTTCTCTACTCCTCCAGTAAGCAAAAGGTGTGTATCCTGCTACCATTAATTAATAAAAATCAAATGCAAATAAATACAAAAAAAAAAAAAAAAAAAAAAAAAAAAAAAAAAAAAAAGGGGCATACCATAATCTAATGTTTTCAGCACCAATTAACCAGTTTTCACAAGCACTGAATGATTCCAGCATGAGATGGGGCACACCATAATCTAATGTTTTCAGCACCAATTAACCAGTTTTCACAAGCACTGGATGATTCCAGCATGACATCTCAGATACTTTTGAAATTTGAACCAAGAGTAAAAGTCTAGCATTTATATTAGAAGTCCCCTCTTTCCCCAGGATAACACCAACCACAATAAGAAAACATTTCAAACTCAAAAGTTAAGCAGATAGCTACTTCAAGTGGATATGATTTAGAATATAGTGAAATATAAACATCACATATCACATTTAGCTTGAAGCCAGAAACCAACATAGCAGATAAGAACTTTGAAATGGAAATTAGAATCTTTTGTATGCTCATTGCACTTAAATAGAACTCTAGTTCGATGATGATGACAGAAGAACCCACCTCTGAGAAAGCACAGGCTCGAACAATGTGCTTGTGTTCAAATGAGTGTAGAACATCTCCTGTTAATGCATCCCAAACTTTCCTGCATATGGATTTCATGCATGTAATACATCAACTTTCGATTAAATTAACTACAACTTCTAAGAACAGGAGAAGGACTTTTCAGGTAATAGGAACTCAATATAGATTGCAACGCCAAGTTCCCCGGCTAAAACCCACTTAACTCTAACCAAAACAGTATATAGGACTTGTGAAAAGAAACAAGAAAAGCGACTAAGCATCGACCCAGGAATTAAAACAATACAGAAATATAAAAGATAAAGCCATACGCAGAGAAGTCTGCAGAAGCAGTTGCAGCACGTAGGGCATTAGTATCCAAGCAGCAACTCCATACTGCACCCTTATGTCCTTCAAATGTTCCAATCCAATCTCCAGTCTCTCCATTTCTCAGCATGGGGCTAGAATCTAAAGGAAAAAAAGTACAACTTCAGATATATGAACATAACAATATTTAAGAGCACTTATGAGTGTTAGCATGTCACAGTCTCAAGGAGGAAATATTTGTTTCAGCTGTGCCCAACATCCTAACAACAGGTTTCACCAGATTTCCACAACCATTACTATTAACCCTATAAAGTAACAAGGTCACAGATAACAGTCAATATACTACTTCCAGGGACATACAAAGACAACAAATGCAATTTTCATCCAAAGTTATAGGAAAAATAAGAACCCAATGCTATAAACCCATCAACTCATTCATACACATAAATAAATACATATGTCAAATTATAAAGTAAGGATTGACACAAATCCAAACGCATACAAGAAAGCATTCAATATCGATACGTACCCTTACTGGCACTGATGAGAAAGAAACCATCGGGAGTGATTGGACTGTAAAACAGATCCACAACCGGACGGGAATGACCGTGGCAAACCAGCGGAACGGCCACCTTCTTCTTATCCATCACTTACAAGCTAATCCCAAAAATAAACTTTTTTTATTTTTTTATTTTTTCTTGATCTGTATCTCAAAAATTCAAAGAAAAAAGAACCCTAATCCTTAACAGGTTTCTATTTCTCTATACAAATTGAAGCGTAATCAAACAAGCAGTCAAGGATAAAATTGCCTTGAGACAAGTCTCTGGGTGTTAATTTAGGATTATTGTACACAAAGATGTTGATTTTGGAGCGAGAAAATGGCGGTATTTTGACACAGGTGGGAAACGATACAGTAAAGAAATTGAAATGAATCCACACCTCCTAACCCTCCACAATGGCTCTGACTGAATCAAATCTAATGCAAATTACAGACAGAAAAACCTAAATTGAAAATCTAAAAGAAAACGTAAATGTTAGAGAACAGAACAGAGCTGTGTGACTAACAAAGGGCTAGGCGCAAGCGCAAGTTTGGGCATACGCTCTGCGTTTTATAGGCTCACCTTTTGGGCTTTTTGCTCCATTTCTTAGATTCTGGATCTCTATTCCTCAGAATGGGCTTTCTGGCCCGGATCCGTACAACCAGCCACTAAAAATATTCTCCTGGTCCAGCTTTGATTATGACCCATTTGTTAAATTATGGAAAGAGATATTGCCACGCGCGTATTTGGCAAGTCCTGATTATTAATGTATTTGAGACTCGCAAATTATGCATCAACGAAGGGTCATAATTCACTTGAATTTGTAACATCTCAAATTCAAAACTTTATTTTGATGAACTTTTTTATCGTGGACATCGAAGTTGATTGCATCCTCATATCTCACAATATCAATAAGATCTAATTATCTTCTTTCGTGATTTTTTGTTCATGACTGCTTATTAAAGAATATCTTGAGTTGTTATGAGATAAGCAATTAATATTTCAAAACGTTTAAAATTTAACACTTCTTTTAGAACAAAATTGAACCGTTTTAAATTATAGTTAAACTAAGGAGTTAATTATCACAAGGGACTTGTAGCTTAAGGTTAAGAGCATTTACTCCTCCACCAAGGTCCTATGATCGAATTCTCTCTCACCAAATATCTCTTGTCTTGACAACAAACAAACATTAGTTAATCCATGATTATAGGTTCACATTGACAAAGCCCTAAAGAGATAAATGTTTCAATTGTCTTCCTCCTTGGGAATCGGAGGCCTAGTTCCTTCTCCTCCTCCCATTTCCTCTCCTCCTCACCTTCACAGACATTTCCATCCTCTCTCCATTCTAATCCTCGCTCATTCCCTCTAACGCCTTCATCTTGGTTGAGTTTGGTGGATGCTTGGCAGTCTTGGTGATGACGTAGTGGTAGGTCGGCATTTATATCCTTGTTTTGTTTTAGTTTTTTAAGTTGTAATAAGTTAATCAACTTCTTATGAGTTTGTTGCGTGTTTTATAGTATATACTTGTATTTTATACTTGCGATAATTAAAATGTTGTTGCAGCAATAGTTTGGTTAGTTGAGATATATGTATGGTTTTTTCATGTATTTGTATTGATTATTGTAATTAACGACTTTTTTACCTGAATTATAAATATAATCTATTGCCGTTCTCTCCAACAAAAGAAAAAAGTTAATCCTCGTAGCAAATGAATTGGGCCTCCAAAGAGAGGCCACAAGATAAAATTATGGCCCACATTTCTTTGGATCCAAACAAAGTTCGACCCAAAATCACAAACGGGGCATTGCGTACCAATCCCTTACACCCAAGGAAAATAAAAAACAAAGAACCAAAAGAAATATGAATTCTTGAACGACACGAACAGAACCTCGCCCAAAGACCGACACCAACACCAAACACCTCCCTTCTTTATAAAACCCAAATTGGCAGAGAAGCATAAAAAAGCTCTCCAAAATTCACAAATCTCAGGTTTTTGTCGCAAGAAAAGGATCGCAATGGCTGCAGTAGGAGTCGAGATCAAGCACCCGGAGGCCGTGCCGGAGGAGGCCTGCTCCGCCAAGGTCACCAAGCAAGGCGAGGGGCTCAGGCAGTACTATCTCCAGCACATTCACGAGCTTCAGCTCCAGGTCCGCCAGAAGACCCACAACCTCAATCGTCTCGAAGCTCAGCGTAACGAGCTCAATTCCCGAGGTTCGATCGATTTGTTTTCTAATTCACACCTGTGATGCGCTAACCCTAATTTTTTCTTATGGGTTTTCTTTACATAATTGGAGGAAATTTTGGGTTTGGGTTAGTCAATTGTCGATTGTGGTGGATTTTTGTAGTTCGGCTATTGTATGTTTGCTGATTTGATTCTGACACAGTGGTGTTGGTTATTGGTACTTATAATTTGATGAAAACTAGCGTAAAGATTTGATTTTTGGCGAGTTTACGAGGAAGATGATTCAACAAATTCTCTAGAGTAATTCGAGATAGTAATGGAAGACTTTGGTCTTTTCCTATCTGAATTATGGCATTCTTTTGTTTGAGGAAATACTTGGTACTAATTTTCTTTGATATAGGAATTGTGCTTGCTGACACCGAGTGTTTGTTGATGAGTGAAGTAACATTTCTAACAACCCAGTCATATTCCCATTTGTTGTCCAAGAGTAATTATAAAGAATAAATGCTGAAAATCAAACCAGTTTAACTGGAAGAAGCTAATCCGGTATAATGCTATAGAAGATAAAATGAATGCATATGTAGTCAAAATATCACTCAGAGGATTTAACAGTATTTTCTAACAAAAGCATCTATTTGTTATATGCTTAAGCTAGTAAGCAATATCTATTTGGTTGTACCAATCACGATGTCAGTTAATCAGTGTTTCTGCTTTGTTTCAATGTGAATATAACGTGTGGATCTGGTTTTGATGGAGTTTTTGAAGCCTTTTTTCCCCATATTTATTATCCATTCATTATACATATTGTAGCAAGTCAAGTTGGAACCATTGGATTGATCAATTAAATTTATCTAACCTCGCAACTTGAACAGTGAGAATGCTCAGGGAAGAACTACAGCTGCTTCAGGAGCCTGGATCATATGTTGGGGAAGTTGTTAAAGTGATGGGGAAGAACAAGGTTTTGGTTAAGGTAAGTAGTTTTACATTCTTCGCTAACATCAAGTTGATTTTATGTACTCTTGTCTTAATTACAGACCATTCATTAATTATGCTAACCAAATTCCTTGATGCTTTTTTCACTTACTTCATGTCTTCTCGATTTCCAGGTACATCCAGAAGGGAAATATGTCGTTGATATTGATAAAAACATTGATGTCACAAAGATCACGCCATCAACAAGAGTTGCTCTCCGCAATGACAGCTATGTTCTTCATTTGATCTTGCCCAGCAAAGTAGATCCTTTGGTTAACCTTATGAAAGTTGAAAAAGTTCCGGATTCTACATATGATATGATTGGTGGTCTTGATCAGCAAATCAAAGAAATAAAGGAGGTTTGCTTCTGCACATTCCTACTTTCTGAACTCGCATTTCATTGCTTGCTGGATTTGTGCGATATTTTACTTCTGCACTTTCTTCTACATGTGTTGTAAATAACATATAATCATTTTTCCAGGTCATTGAACTTCCAATTAAACATCCTGAATTGTTTGAGAGTCTTGGTATAGCTCAGCCAAAGGTAGAACTATGTCGCCAAGTTGTTATGTTTGATTATCTGCTTACTAGATAGGCACTAACTGTTACATTTGTGCCCTGTGACTCACTCTTCAATACAACAGGGCGTGCTGCTTTATGGGCCACCTGGTACTGGGAAAACATTGTTGGCTAGGGCTGTGGCCCATCACACTGACTGCACATTCATCAGGGTTTCTGGTTCGGAGTTAGTTCAGAAATATATTGGGGAAGGCTCTAGAATGGTTAGAGAACTTTTCGTCATGGCCAGGTTTGTTTTGATCTCTTGTTATTGAGATTGGTTTTGGTTTCTGTTTCTATGTGCAAATGTTACTTTTGTTGCCTTGATTTAAAATTCTGTTGCTCTATGTGTTGAACTTTAACTTATTCTATGCTCAGATTTGATGTTGAGGCTTTAATTTGTGGAGGGAAATTCTAAGTTAGAATAAGCTATTTACCCATAATTGTAATGTTGGGCCGTCAGTATAATTAAAATAGAGTCATACTATCGGGTTGTCTGAGGCATGTATGTTCATCCGATCTGTGGCACCTTGAAGAAACAAAAGGAACAATAATTTATTGGGGTGTCCCTGAACTCTGGATTATATGTTTATCTTTCTCTACTGCAAAGATCTGGGTTGTGGATGAATCTGTAATCATTCAATGATCTACCTCTTGTTAAGCCTCCCATAATGATTATGGGATTCATGCACTTACATTTTCTAATATGATTTGCTTCCATCTTTTTGCTGACCATTTGCTCACTTTATTTTAATTTGGTTTTTCCTTCAGGGAACACGCTCCATCTATCATTTTTATGGATGAAATCGACAGTATTGGATCTGCTCGTATGGAATCTGGTAGTGGCAATGGTGACAGTGAGGTGCAGCGGACTATGCTGGAACTTCTCAACCAGTTGGATGGATTTGAGGCATCAAACAAGATCAAGGTACTGAACAGATGTGGATTCACTGGTTTGAAACTCAATATAATACTTCTGAACGTTATTGTTTGTCTGACCAACACCATCTTTAAATTCATCCCTTGACAGGTTTTAATGGCCACAAATCGTATCGATATTCTGGATCAAGCCCTCCTTAGGCCTGGACGAATTGACAGGAAGATTGAATTCCCAAATCCTAATGAAGAGGTATGTTTCAGTCGCTATACTAGGATTAATGTTTTCAATAGGTTTATATATTCAGAGGTCAGAATTTCTGTTTACTCTTTATATTAATTGTATGTATGCCATCAACTGAGGTTGGTCAGCGGTAAATGGTTTCTCAGTTTTGCAATGCAAAGTCCACTTAGCAGAGTGCATGTACTAAACTTCCAGTTTTATAATACTTTTGATGGTTGGCATTGCCTATTTCATCTGTCGTGATGAATACAATTCTTAGTAATGCATTTAAAAAATTGCAGTCTCGTTGGGATATCTTGAAAATCCATTCAAGAAGAATGAATTTAATGCGTGGAATTGACTTGAAGAAGATTGCAGAGAAGATGAATGGTGCATCTGGTGCAGAACTGAAGGTAATTTTTTCGTTTTTCCTCAGTGGTTTATAACTAATCGAGGTTTTGTGTGCGGTATCAAATCTTTACGCTTGCTTTCTATTTCCGCCATGCAGGCTGTTTGCACAGAAGCGGGGATGTTTGCTTTGAGGGAGAGAAGAGTTCATGTGACACAAGAAGATTTTGAGATGGCAGTTGCCAAGGTAATGAAGAAGGAGACCGAGAAGAACATGTCATTGCGCAAGTTGTGGAAGTAATTATGCACGCTATTGTGGTGTTCTTGGGAGGCAATGTAGGCATAAAAGACAGATGTTTAAAGGGCAGTGAAATTCTAAGAAGAGGATACAAGCAAGCATGGCCGTCTTGCCTTTGTTGCTACAATGCTTTGCATTTTGCTTGCTTGGTGGGGGAGTTTTTAGTTGCATACATACCACTTTACTGATTTAAAAGTTAAAAGAGCTGTGGACTTGTGGTATTCGTTTTAAACTTTTAGGTTTATATAAATGTTCTTCACTTGAAATTATTTTTAATGTTGCTTGTGGTGTTAAATGCATTGAATCAGATTTGGGGATAATGATTCACCCGTCTTCCTTCCAGTCAAATTGAATGCTGGGTAAAACTCTAAAATTTACCCCTTAGTCGAGTGATTGTTAGACTTGATTATCTGATTAACTCCATTGTCTCTTACACTGATGACTGATCCAGGAGAATTTCAGAAGACAAGTTGTGCCATATATCATATTGGATATTTTTTGTACTGGAGCAATCATTGGGTCAATTCTCAATGGGATTTATAAGATTACGATCGGCTATCCGATTTATTGGCATGTGAAAGTGCAGAGGGCAAATGAATTATAAAATCACAAGTCAAATCTTCGTATGGGTGCAAAGATATACAAGTACAAATTTGGTACATATATGAATATAAATATTTTTTAGGGAACGAGGATTTTTTACACATGCTATTAAGATGTCACGAAGTTGGAACGATTTGCAAATCAAGATTCTTTTTGATTAAATCAAGATCCTTTTTGATTGGATTAGAGCCCGTTGATTGATAGGTTATAGAAATGCTTGTCAGTAATCAACGTGTGATGTTAGTTCAAATTGAAACGGCTAAAGCCGCGTGGTGAGTTGGCGATGTCGTACATACCACCCATAATTGTTATTTAAATAATTGAAGTGTCTGGCCCACAGCCGTCAATTATTCTAATTTAAAAGCCTACTTCCAACTTAAACCTGCACGTTGACTTTGAATGCTCTTGTTCATTCTTGACTTTACACAATGAATCTATCTATCTATCTCTGTCCAGCTAAGCTAATTCACGCCATTCAAACAAATAAAACAGCTTATCCTCCAAATTCCAGACCCTTTTGGTTTCTGCAAAAATGTCGAGAGCTCAACCACAAAAATGGGTCTCCCTACTCATCCTCTTCCTTCTACACCTTTTGCACACATCTCACGCTGACGTGGGCTCTGCTGCACAGTACCCTCCTCCATATTTACGTAAGTTAACGTCCCATCCCATCCCACGTATATTTACTTATATATCCTTATGTTTATATTTATGTTCTCTTCTCTACCTTACCTCGATGCACATGTACATATGTAGCGACGGCGTGTTACGGCAGCGATTCGTCGCAGTTTCCTTCGAGCAACTTATTTGCGGCGGCTGGAGATGGAATATGGGACAATGGGGCATCCTGCGGGAGGCAGTACTTGGTGAGGTGCATAAGCGCTGCACGAACGGGGACGTGTGTTCCCGACAAGACCATTCAAATCAGAATCGTGGATTATGCCGGCTCTGTTAATTCTGCGCCGTCGGCTCCCGCCACCACCATGGTCTTGTCCCAAACAGCTTTCGGAGCCATCGCAAATTCAACGGCAAAATCAATCAACATTGAGTTCCAGCAGTAAGCAGATTCATTTCTTTATTATCTCCACAAATATGGAGGGTGATGATTTTATTTTATTTTTATTTTATGCAGGGTGTGATGTGGGAAACGTAGAAATGACCAGGTCTGAGGTGGGCTTGAATTTTCAATCATGTCATGTGTGCAAGGGACCGTGTGATGAGCGGTGGAAATTCATGTGCTTTTGTATTCTAGTTATATATATATTTTGATTATTGGTCATTGTTACTTGTAATGGAATATTCAGCAAATGTCTACAAAAATATGTCATTTTCATTTTCTCTTATACATTAAATATTTATTACTTTTCATATTATATCCCGGAAATTTCCCCGCTTGCTGCTGCGCTTTGGAAGCTACGAAACCATCTTTGTCAATTTCTCTTCTAAGTTTGGTGGGAATCAATCATTGCTATAATCCCTCCCTCTCTCTCATCCTTCATTTATTTATTTGACATGGAATTTTCATATTTCTCGCATCAAACAGTAAAAAACACAAAATAAATTAAGATAACACGCGACACGATGCAGAAGGGTACTCAAATGATGGGGGCGTGGAGATGGAGTCATGCAATGATGCAAAAGGTCTGGGCTGGGCTGGGCTGGGCTGGGCTGGGCTGGATAAATCCAGAAGGTGTCTCTGTCAGCTGCATGTGGGATGCTTCACTTGTGAGGAATTTGGGTGCGTGGAAATGAATGGGGGTCAGGTCATGTAAAGGGAAAGCCAAGTAAATTCCACACCAGTCAAATATGCCAAAGGACTGATAGTGATGATGACTTTTGAGCATTCAAATCAAATTTGGAACCATCTAACATCTATCTAACCAAGCACTTACGTAGTCAACACGTCCAAGCTGCTGTCGTTTGTGTCAAGTCACTACCTAGTTCGTGTTTTTTGTGTGTAGCTTTATAACAATCTAGAAACATAAAGGAAATTACGCACATTTTACTTTTCTTGTTCTTAATACTTGTTTTTCTCCTTTGATTACTTTCTTTTGACAAAATACAAAAAATGTACAAAGAATATACGTACTTTGATGCAAACTAAAACAAAGAATACATTTCTTACTTCATATTGCATTCATTGGTGCACTATTCAATCACGGCACAACTGTTTCAATCCACAACCAACACTGCACTTTTTCAATAACTTAAGTCTAGAGAATTGGACTTTAATACGGTTCGGATGTTCGAATTAGAGAAAAACTGTGTGTATATATGACTCAATTCATAACTGTTGAGGCCCAAAAATTCAGGGTTGGGTCCAAATAAATTCTTGGTCTAGTACGACACCTTATTAAGAAAAGACCCGGTTCGAAGCATGAGAAATTTGTCATGTACGCTTTCACGAGCCATGACCACGTGTCATGCCAAATAAATATGCAATTTATCACGCTAAGAATTAAAATGAGCCTATAAAAGGCATTGACTATACAAACCCATGCTAATTATTCCGTCAAACACTATGTCTCTCTTCAAAGAGACAAAATTCAAGCACGCCAAGCGATGTGCAATGCAAAACAAAAAATCATTATTATTACACCTAGTCATGCTACAAGCTTAAGTGGGCTCAAGCCACGCAAATGCTCGGGGCTTGCTTGAGTGGGTTATGGTATGGATGGTAACGAGCTTTCATGAGGCCCATTGATGAGCTGAGAAATTGAAGTTTTGGGCTGCTTGGGAGCCTCAAAACTCAAGCCCATTTCTTGAGCCCAAATATGTGGGTAAGAATAAAAGAGAGGAAAAAACCTAAATACCCTGGAAAATTAGCTTAAATACCCTAGAAAGTTAGCCCATCACTTAAGGAAATTAGCCCATGTTCTTAATGGGCTAACTCATCACTTTAGCAAGGCCCAAATAGCTTAGAAAATATCCAAAAATCTCCAGCACATGGTTTGAAATGAAACCACGATAGAAAACCATGAGATGTTTTTACGCTCAGGCTACTGGGAGACTCCAACACATGGCCAAAGATAAACCCAACGTAAGCTATCAGAAAAACCAAGGGATGCTTAAGCAAAACACCCTTCAAACCAGCGTACATACCCATTTCTTTCCTCCCCACCAGATCTTGCCATGAAATAGGAGAGGAAAGAAGGAGAAATGACAGCCAAAAATAAGAAATCACCACTGATAAGCCTAGAGCTTCCAAAACCCTGTTTTTGGTTCGATTGGGCAGAGGAGAATTTCACAAAATGGGATGGATCGAATGGAGAGAAAAGAATTTAAAGGGAAGACCTGGCAAAATTGGAGATAATGGGAATGATGAGCTTCCAACGACTATAAAAGGAGGTATCTCCTACCCATTAAACTCAACCTGAGCAGTAGAGCAAGCTTATTCTCTAACTACTTGAAACATCAAGCCAAGTGCCTCACCTTCTATCTCTTTCTTCTTTATCCTAATCAAGACACACATTTAGATAGCAAGCTACATCTCTCCTCCCTGAAACCTCTGCAATTTCGAGCCTTATTCCTCCATCTCCTCCCCTTTTCTCTTCTGTTAAAACACTCCAAAGCTTGATAGATTTTTCGTCAAGCTTCCGGAAACTACTCAACACACCCATTATACCCTCATCTTTCTCCCTCTTCAACAAACCCTCGTAGAATCCATTCCCTCTTTCCTTAGAACCCTTGTCTTTCAAAAGAACTCACAACTCTCTCTCTGTTTATGCTAAACTCATGATAATTTTGCTCCCATGCCACAAGCTTCTCATGCCAAACTAAGAATCTATCTGTAAGTAATTGTTGTTTTTGCTGGTGAAAATAACCAGGATGCTTCATAAGGCTTCACTACCCTTTCGAAGCATTCTTGGGGCATGATTCTTGAACTCAGGCACATGGGGTAATTTCACTTGTTTCTCTTTTCGGCAGCCCAAGCCCATTTATCAGGCTGCTGGAATAAAAAGACTCCTACAATAACCATGTATGGACCCCATCTCTGAAGCCAAGTTATGGATCTGAAAACTAATATAGTTCCTTTTAGCTTTAATATTTTGCTACTTTATTTACTTTCTTATCAATATCCAATTTTTATTTTTTCCAAAAATATGTCCACAAAATTTTGAATTGAAGTTTAGAGACATGGAAACTGAAGCGGGTCAAGTGGCCCAATATTCAGCGTCAAGGCCCATCCATCCATCCACATAAAGAAATCCATGGGGCCCATAGAAAACAGAACCCAAGTTTACCCAGTCAAGTCATCCAGGCGCGCAGTACGCACCACGCGTCGTATAGAAAACATCAAAATCCTTCAACAGCCTATACCTCTCGATTTCGTAAAATCACCGATTTACGATTTTGCCTTGATAATTCTCTGCAAAAATTCAGGTATTTATTTAAAATTAAATCGCAAATTGTTTCATGAATTAATTTTTGAGTTTCCATTGGAATCGCTGAGAAACTTGTGTAGAAGAAACAAATGCTCACTCAGAGATTCGAATTGCACTTGAATTGAATTGAAGCCCTTCTCTTATTGCGTTTTGCGTTTTGACAAAGTTTAGGTTTTTGATGTTTGCTTGCTGTAATTGGGAGTTGTTTCAGTGGTTTAAACGATTTCTGCGGCCGATCAATGAAAGGAGAAGTGCAGCTAGAGCCAGCAGGTGAAAGGGAACGAGACCCTACTGACGTGGACCCTCTGCTAGAGAACCAGGAAGATTCGTCACCTGGAAGCTCGACTGAGATTTACAATGAAGACCTCGAGTCTGGCTCCATTCCCTGTTGTCGCATTTGTCTTGAAAGCGATGCCGAACCAGGTCAATCTCGCGTAAAGATATTAAGCTTAGTTGATTTTTCTTTTCTTCATGAATATTGTTTATTGTTTTGTGGTTTAAATTGTTGTGTTTTAATCATACTTGGGAACTTGGAAAGACTATATCTTGTGTAGTGTTAGTCTATGTTTGTAGGTTGCAGTAATTTAGTCCATTTGGGAAAACTGTAATCTTCATATGTCCCGGGGTGGGGATTCCGAGTTTTTTTTATATATTTTTAAATGTATGTCATGATGCACTCATTGTTGCCTAGGCATATTTATTGGCCTGATTACTGTTGTTTAACTTTTCAGGGGATGAATTGATTTCACCTTGCATGTGTAAAGGCACCCAGCAGTTTGTTCATAGCTCCTGTCTTGACCACTGGCGTTCTGTTAAGGTAAATAACCTCTTCTTTTTTTCCTTACAGTGAGGAAATTGCCTTTCCCTTTTTCTTAAAGTGAGCAGTTTATTTTATTATTTACTGAACTTCCCTCTGCTTTTTCTAGGAGGGATTTGCTTTCTCACACTGCACAACTTGCAAAGCCCAATTTCACCTTCGAGTTGAATCATATGAGGACAATTCTTGGCGTAAAATAAAATTCAGAGTTTTCGTGGCAAGGGATGTTTTCCTCGTATTTTTAGCTGTACAATCAGTAAGCAATTGTCCTTTGGATTATGTTCCATAAAAGGGTTCATACACAATGTCATTCTTTAATTAATTAAGTAGTTATGTTCTCGTTTCTGGCATTTATTTACTTTCTTTTTCTGTTTAATTCTTGTGGTATACTTTTTTCTTGAAAGGCAATAATAACCATCTGCCTGTCTCTGATTAACTTTTATCCAGGTAATTGCTGCAATTGGTGGCTTTGCGTATGTCATGGACAAAGATGGTGCCTTCAGGAATTCATTTAGTGATGGTTGGGATCGTATCTTGTCAAAACATCCTATACCATTTTATTATTGTATAGGTAAACTCTTTACACCTTAAAATGTTATTTGAAAAACTTATGTAGTTCAGAGTTTTTTCTGACTCTGGTGCTCACATTTCAAAAGTATCTGACTAACAATTCAGTTGAAGCAAGTTTTGGATCAATTCTATTATAATGCTCATATCTAATAACAAACATGAGACAGTTTACTGGGTCGAGAAATTGTTGCTACTTAATGTTTGGCATCGAATATGTCAGAATGGTAGATCTTAGGGAAATTTTTAGTTTCTGATAGAATAAAGACAGTTGTGCTATTTTCTTTGCCATTTCTCGTTCAGTAAGCATAAAAGTCTTTTGTCGTTTGAAGTAATATTTGGACATTGCTAAGAAATATCAATGACAGATGTGTGCCGAAGACATTAAGTAATTTCGGTTCATCAATCTCTGTGCTGTTTCTACCTAATCTGTATGGCATACCCCCTCATGAACGTGTGAAGAATACTCCCCCATTTCCCCCGTTTTGGCCTTGCCTTCTTCATAATAGTAGAAACTGTGAAAGCTAATTGTCAGTTATGTTAGTATTCAGTAAATTTGTTACAGGCTGTGCTTTGATTTTGCTTTCTGTTAATGTCTTTTGTTGATATGGAAAATCTGGTCGTATCGTCTTGTTTGGTATCACAGTGTCAAGGCTTTCTACTTCTACCATTTTTTATATGAGAAGGAATATAGAAACAAATAAATATTGCACTTGTTATCAATCTCTTACATCTATGGCCTTGTATTAAAAACATTGCTACTTTTGCCACTGTGCACTTGTAAATACCAGGGGTACTGGCCTTTTTTGTGCTGCTTGGATTTTTTGGGCTTATACTACACTGTTCATCCCTCAATAGCAATGACCCAAGAATGGCTGGCTGCCAGAATTGTTGTTATGGTTGGGGAATCTTGGATTGTTTCCCCGCGTCTATGGAGGCTTGCTTTGCCTTAGTTATCGTTTTTGTTGTCATATTTGCCATACTTGGCATAGCTTATGGTTTCCTAGCTGCTACCATGGCTATTCAGAGGATCTGGCAGAGACATTATCACATCCTGACCAAGAGGGAACTCACAAAGGTTAGTCTTAGATGCTCTTCTCCTGTGCAGGTCTGGATACTTATAATCTCTTAACTTTTGACTGTTTAGATATTGCATCATTCAGAAGTCCAAGAGTGCTTATCTTTTCAAAATTTTGCAGGAGTACATAGTGGAGGATCTTCATGGATGTTATACCCCACCAAAATTGGATCCAGAACATGAAGCACGTCTGAAAATGCTCAAGTTGTTGTAGTGATGGATGAGGAGGTAAAATAAATTTATCAGGTAATGAAATCGGCGATGTGTATTTGCTTGACATTAAAGGAGCAGAGAAAGAAAAGATTTTAGTCTTATTCTTCCTAGCATTCACCAAAATGTGATCACCTGTGCAGTAGTTTTATACTCTCAAGTCTCTTATGATTTTGCTCTGCTCTGATATTGTACCAGTTTGGATATTCTTGGACTTGTCTCCTCCCGAGTCCTATGAAGCCTGCGTGTATTTGTCTTCCATGAAGTGGATTTTAGGCTGGTGTTGTATGCTTTACCTCAATGCTGCCATCTGTTCTCCACCCTCGGCCACTCTTTGGGGTTGGTAGAATTATAGGATAATTAATACATAACCCAAATTATTATTATCTTCTTCGTCAAAAGCTACCGATCTTGATCGCAAGGTAGCGTCCTGTTATCAACCAAAGTATAAAAAATCTGTCATGGCTCCTTCCTTTGAACTGGAGCTGTGCTTGCATAAACTGCAGTGAAAATCCAGCGATTTAACTATTCACCACAAAAATAAAATTCAAAAGTCTCATTTGAATCAAGAAGATATAATTTTGGGAATCAATTTTTACAAACCCATTGATTAATTATCGTTGAATATGTACTCAAAGTTTACAATTTATAGACATTTTGTTTTTCTACATTAGAGCCTTTAGTGACTAAATCTAGAAACACGTAGAGCTAAATCTAGAAACACGTAGAGCCCTACATTTGTTGTCACATTGATTTGCCTCCAAAAAATAAAAAAAAATGGAGAACATGTGACCCAAAAAACAAAGGTTAGCCACGGCCTTCTTTTTTTAATCCATCTCAAAACCCAACATGTTAATCTCCTTGAATTGGAGAATTCTGGGTCTCAGATTCTTGTTGTGATTCACCAACGCTTACAAAAATAAGACGATCACCATCTCTAACTACATCTATGTCATCAATTTCAGCTCCTTCTTTGGTCACGACCTTAGCCGGTGAGAAGCCAAATTTCTTTGCACCAAGCTCAAGCAACTCCTCATAACTCACCGGAAGTAGCACAAGCTTCCCTTTAACTTCACCCTTTTCAGGGCAACTAATTGTCACCCTAGCAGGGTCACTTCCATAGTTTTTACTCTTTGGACTTCTCGTCCCCTTCACCGCGAAAAACAAGTCTTTCTCGCCGGTGTGGGCAGCTGACATCATGCCAAAGAGTGAGTTGTGGAAGTTATTAGTCCTGCGCCGTGGCCGGTTTCGTCCCCAAGGTCCTCCGTCTGCTCCTGCAAATGAGCCGTCCTGGGACGGAGGGCGGATGTTTGGCTCGCTTGTAAACCTTCCAATGAAACGGGTTCCATTCTGCTGGTGCTCGGGAGTGGTAACAGAAAGAAATTTGGATATTTCTTTCCTTGAGTGGAAAAGGTTCTTTATGTCTTCATGTCCCTGTTGGTCTGCCAGAGCTCTTGGCGTCCAGCCATGGAGGTCTGGTTTGTCAATGTCAGCCCCTTGGTCCAACAGGAACTTGACGACTTCAACGCTGTCTTCTGACACTGCAACATGGAGAGCTGTGGTTCCATTGGCTTTAGGTCGTGTGACATCACCTCCATGTCCAACGATTTCCTTGAGCAAGTCCACCCTGCATTGCTCGGCGGCAGAGCAAGCGAATTGACCCACGTCCCCAGAGTTGAAATCTGCACCATTGTCTTGCAGCAGCTTGGCAATTGGTTCATGACCATTCAGAATTGCCTCCCAAAGTGGCGAATTCCCATCTGTGTCTGTCAAAGTATGAAACAAAGTCAAGTTATTGCTGAACCATTTACCCTTATCCCGCGGTTTGATACGGAGGAGTAGACTGGATGAATTAAATAACTAAAATTTACGTGCAATTAAGAAAGAATATAATTTGAGTAATTCTGCAAATTGATGTGGACTATAGGGGCGTGGGTCCACAATAAAAAATATGACCGACCCTTTGAAATGGTTATGATTATCCAATAATGGTAACAGGACGTATACACTCATGCGCGCACAGAAGATTCAATTGCAAATAGTTTCAAGAAGTCAACAGAAACGAACCATTCTTTAAAAAAGATAAGGCCATTCGCATTGACTTCCTTGACACTGAATAATACTAGAGTTTAGTTTTCCTTGACACTAAAAAAGATAAGGTCATATCTAAAACTTTAGTTTTCCACCCACATTTTCATATTATATCATGTTAAAAAGGATGAGGACAAGATGAACAGATGCTCTCAAATGGGGTTAGTATTGTATTAGTAATAATAAACTTTAAACTTTGTCAAATAGCAAGATGTGGGAAGCACATGCATTTGTTTTGGATCAGATTTATGAAGTCAGCCCTTTTTTTTATTACATGCATATATAAAAAAGACAAAAAAAGAAGATAAGAAATGGAGCAAATAATTTTATCAAGTAGTTTAATAAGGGGAAAGTCAACAAGCATAATATTCTATCTTGCCATTAAGGGAATGGAAAAGTAAAGTTTTAGATATGACAATTCAACAACATCAGGTGAGGCCATTTCTCCATGGTCAAACATGTAGGAGGAAAACTGCAGTATTTCTAAATTACAGTTCAGTTGACTAAAAAGACCATGCGAGCAATAAAAGTCAATACATTGGTACCTTTACTGTTAGGATCTGCCCCAAAGTCCAGTAGAAGAAGCACACAGTTCTCACTTCCTTTGGCTGATGCTATATGCTGTTTTTCAGACAACAAAAGAGGAAATGTAAAATGTTAGCATCATTATATCCAGAGTTTAATGCATTACAAAAACATATAAAAAAATGTAAAATCAGGAGCAGAGGATTTCACAAACCAGAGCTGTCCTCCCATTGTTGTCTGATTCATTTGGATCGAGACCCCGTCTCAACAACTGATGCAACAGCAAGTCATCTCCTCTGCTTGCTGCAAAGCATAGACTGAGAGGTAGGTCCATTCTACCACGAGCTAGCATGTTCTCTGTCTCCAACAGAACTCCCTCCATTATTGGGTCCTTTTGGTCTTTCAAATGCTGCCCCACCGAGAAAGAAACGCCAATAACATGTCAAAATTCTTCATCACTAGAAACCAAAGAAATTTTTTCAACTTATGGATCAGATATAGCAAGGTTATACCAAACTAACTCACCTGGAGGAGATTATTCATAATTACAGTTCCATCTCCAACATTAGCTTGAACGATATTTAAGAAAGCAGTACGGTTCAGCCTTAGTAGCTGACTCAATCTTTTGGTCCTAACTGTAAAGAGCTGTGGCCTATAACAGAGCACCCCAATCTCACCAATAAGATCACCAGATTTTACCTCACCAATGACCTGCAAATGTTTAGGATAATGTTGCTTAAAATCTTATTTATCACAGCCACCAAGGTCAATGGAACTAAAAAACGCAAAAAGATGTCCATTCTATTCAAGTGTTAGACTTGCCTGTTCAACTCCGTTTTTGAGAACCACTAAATCCTGTTAAGTAATTCAAACATAAGAGTAGATTATTCAGAAGATAAACTCGAACAAAGAGTATAGAAAATTGATAATTCCCTTGAAACTTGACGAAAAAGAAAGGTGAAATTATTACCGCAACACCAGTGACAAGTACGTAGAAATCAGTGGGTGCTTCATTCTGCAAGATTATATCTTCTTTGGGAGGAAAATACTCGGCTTTCATCTCTGACACCTTTGAATTCAGAAGAAGAAGAAAAAAATCAATCAAACATCTATCTACTACATAGCGATACTTCAAACAATGTGGACAGGTCCACTGGAGAAAGAAGCATTTAATTGAAAATTTTGAGATTGGTTTGAACTTACCAACTGAAAAAGCAAGTCATTTGAAACCCCATGAAACAAGTACACCTTATCGACAAGAGAGTAAAAAAGATAATGTGAAATACTTGAGCGGATGGCTTTAGGAAGGGCATCAAGAGTCTCTTGTTGCTGCAGTCCTTCTGAGTCTGTTCTGAACTTCAGACACAAGTGTGCAAGCATCTGATCCTGCAGGCGGCCAGGCAGTTGGTTCCTCTGTGCAAAACTGGAGGCAGCTTGTATGGTATCCCTCTGTAAAATAGAAGCGACATAAAATAAGATTTTCACATTTCGTTAATTTTATTGCACTTAGCGACTGGGATTTACTCACAAATTTTCTAGTTCGACTGGTCCCGTGGACAACCAAGTTGGTCATATTTCCAATTAAGTATGATGTCAATCCCAGGTTGAAGAGCATGTAGACTATGTCAAAGATCATCTCCCTTGTATTCACCGGATGCAGATCTCCATATCCAACTGTTGTTAGTGTAGTGATAGACCAATAAACTGAAGTTACATATCGAATCCACATGTCTTCTTCTAGGATTTCTACTCCCATCCACGTTTTCTGGGGGTCACGATAACGTGCAGCTAAAAGATAATAGAAACATCCAGCACAGTGAATGGCAAAAAGAGTGACCTACAAAAGAGCATACGAATCCCCATAAGATGGTGGTGCAATGTAAGAAAATGCATTTTTGTTCATGTAAATAATCGCAGAACCATCAAAGTTACTTACACAAATAAGTTTTGCACAGCGAACCCAAAAGTAGTTATAGTTCCTATCTTTCTCCAATCTGTTCAGGCAAGAATAATGGGAAAGTTAATACAAAGGAAAACTTCTTCTCGAGATATTCATTTTCGAAATCAAACAACTGAAGGAAAAAGCTACTCCAAGTTTCTAATCATATGCTGTCTGTAGTTAGAACTTGGAAGCTACTTGTATGAAGAAAATCCCATACCTGGAAAATAGTGCACTAACTCTTCGTAGACGCCAAAGACGAAGCATGTTGAAAACGCCATAAGATTGCACAGATTTTGGAAAGATCTTTGTAGCAAGTTCAGACGGGATTGTGGATATGACATCAAAGAGAAACCAGGATCTTGCATACTTCCAACCAATCCTTTTGTGATCATCAACAAGTAGATATGTAGACTTATCCAGGTAAGCCACAAAGAATGTAAGAACAA